CTAAGGCTTTTTAATAATTTTTCTATCAACACTGCAGCCGCCTACTGTTGAAGCCTTTCTTCCACTCCACACTCACACAGAAGTCCAGGCGGTCTATGCTTCCTGTTCGTTGTAGGACGAGGATCGGGGTGTCTGTGGTAATACATGAATAAGATGAATGTGGGGGACGTGTTCATGTGAAAGCTCTTGTCACTGAGAGTTTGTCGTCGGGCAGCACAAAGGGTAGTGCCGTCCTGCCTGATTTACTTTAGATTCAAACCGTGGCTAAATTGGAAATCGTGAATCACTCTGACACTGTTAGAGCAAGATGGATTACTTCAGTTAAAGGCTGCCTTTTCTTTACTTTGGATCTTTTTAAAGAAATCATACAAAAATTAATTTTTCTGACAGATGGATGACCCGGGAAGGCGCTGAAAGGAAAAGCAAAGGGAGTCCAGCAATGAAGCACTACAAAGCTGTTCCTTTTTTATTTATTTTTTTTATCATCATGGCACTATCCCAGCCACATCCAACAAGCTCTCAGCAGCACAATGAGCCTGGCTGAATATTTGATCAGCAGTCTCAGGTTTAACAAGCCTTGCCAAACAACACCTGCCTGGAAGGAAAAGATACGCCTCTGAGCAGAGCAACGCTTCCCCTAAGATGTTGAGGAAATAAGTGTTTGATGTTCATAAAAACCCATTCAGTCTTGGACTCTCAGCGAGGTTCAAGATCTGCGTGGCAGAACAATAGTTTTCTGGATGCCAATAATGCCTTCCAATGTAATCTGGATACAAATGATGAAACAATGCGCATTTTGCAGATTGCATTCAGTATAATACAATATACCTCGGCTCAGCAAGTGTCACGCAGCAGATGTTTCTATGCTCTTGGAGACTGTATGAAATTTAGAGACTAAAAGATGTTTTTGTTTATGTGCTTAACTTTTATTTATTTTCTTTTATTTTTTTTGGTCTGGACTGGATTTTGCAAATGCGTTCAAGTTAGATAAGGGTTAGGATTAGACAGACAGAGGTTAAGATTGGTTTAAGTCTTCAGGAAAAGAGTGGAAGCCATTGTTGTTTCCTCTATGTGTGTGTCTGTGTGTGTTTGTGTAAGCTCTAGTGCACAGTAGCCGGCAGCAGCTCATTGCCCTGCGGTAATATCAGGACTCGCAGACACCTGGGACCAGTGGGTTGAGGCCTCAGAGAAGGCAACAGCCTGGCAACTGGCCCTGATTACTTTCTCCACTCTCCGGAACTCAACTCTGTAGATGCCATTAACCAGCTCCACACAGTGTGAGTCCAGCTCAACTGTGCCATTGACCCTGTACACAAAGGGTGGTTTAAACACACACACATTCACAGCACACAAAATGTCACGATGTGTTTGCCTGTCTTCTAAAACCACAAGCCAGCAATGTCCCCCCATGGTGGAGGCAAATATTTATAGTGACATCATGAAGCAACACTGACATCTAGTGGCCAAAACAAGTAGTTTCAAAAATAAATATTTCTTATAACAAATGTGTTATTGCAATTTTCATAACTGCATCATATTTTATTTATTAACTAATTATGTAAAATATTTATTGGTTGTATGCTGGTGAAGATTCTCAGTCATCCAGGACATGATGAATTCAAAAAAATGAAATGAATTCAAGTGTATTTATTGGTTGATTTTTAATATCAGTTTTTTATTTATGTAATGTAATTAAATCGGTTTTAATACTTTTTTTAACTATTCTTTATATCAGAAAATAAATGTGATTATTAAGTGTGACAACACATTTGCTGCTCAAAAGTGTTTTCACACAAACACGTGCAACTCTTGTTTTGGTGCAAATACAAATTAGACATTAATATGCAGGAGTTTTTTTGTCATTTTTGATTCAATGTGTCTCTCACTACTTTAAAACCTTCCTTTTTTTCTCAAATGCACCTAGATTCCAGAAAGTTTGCACCCAAGTTTCCATGTACTTTAATAGTATTTGAGCTTGAACTTTAATTTTCTAAATATGTACTTTTTTTAAACTTATCATGTCTCTTACTTTAAAAAACTGTAGAAACACAAAACTTTCACAAGTGTGACCATCAGAGTCCTCTGCCAAACAGAAAAAAATAGCTCTGGTTTATAATTTTCATTCAGTAACTCTGATTAAGGCTTACTTTTTAGTCTGTTTTTTGTCTGTCTCATTAATTTTTGAAGTCAGGGAGTGAGAGACACAGATGTGTTTACCATGCATACCATAATAAGCCACTTGCTTTAACATTTCTTTTAATCTCAATTTTCCTTACACTTTCTATACATTTCATACATCAAAATGTAGATATTTGTATTATCTTAAGTTAATTTAAAATGTTAATGTGTGTAGAAATGTTCTAGTTTTATATTTATTACCTCACTGAAGCGAATATGAAAGTGAGTTTATTATAACAATCATAAATAGTAATTGGGAAATGTCAGCAGCCCTTTATAAATAATAATAACACTTACCGGTACATGTTAAAGAAAGGTCCGTAAATGATCCCTCACAAAAATCGTATCAGACTTTACTGCAAGGACAGTCGACATATGGTGTTTATGGAAACGACATCTTCAATGGAAACGTGTTTGGCCTAGACACATTTGACCCACGAGGAAAATTAATTTTAGATCAGCATATTCGTTTTTATTCAAACAAATAAGAGTAACCTCCCTTCTGAACGTGCTTTTGTGTTAAAACCTTTGAACATATTTAAAAAAAAGTTAACAATATGAATGAAATTCATTATCTTTTCCACTGTTTTGCTTTGTTTGTCCCCGTGTGCTGTGTAAATAAGTCCATACAGCAAAGGTCGGGTTTACTTCCTTGTGGCTCCCGTTAATGAACTGCAGGGAAACATGTCAGTAACTGGCAACAAAATGGGGAAGAGATCTTGAGATTGGCAACATTCATCATCTGCTGGCTGGAGGAAACTGATTCCCTTCTATGCAAATTTTGAACATGACTGTTCAAGAGAGGGGGAAGGGGGCGTGGTCATGTTGGATGTGGGCGGTCCGTAAACCCTGTCAAAACTTTACTGTACACTTGGAAACACGTACTTCAGGTGAAGGACCTTCATAAATGGAGCACGGAAGCACAAACAGAGCAGGTAAGTGGTCGAGGTTTTACCTGTTTTGTTGTTTTTTGCTGATAGTTGCTAGCTTGTTTGTTAGCGGCTTGTTAATTTGGGCTGCCTCACCTGTCCTAACGTTACGCTCCTGAAGGGGGCTTTTCCTTACCTCAACCTGAAACGAGTCCAAAAAGCGACTTCTCTGTGCAAACATGTCGAGTAGTTATTTAGTTACAAATGCAGAAAGCTAGATAAAGTCATATAAGTTTTGCGCGTGCTCTTTAACAATACTGTTTGTGTGGAGGTAATTTTCATATCTGAGCCAAATGATGACGTTTGTTGGCACAAACGGGACTCATGTAAAGTTGGGAAGTGTAGTCTTGTTTGCAGCAACTGTGTTTAATGTAAAACCAGGAAAAATGGCTGCTTTTGTTAAAAAAAAATAAAAAAAAAAGCTAGTTAACGGCTTTCATGGCTGTATCAGGAAGTGTCTTCATAACTGATCTGTTAAGTTATTAAAACAATGTATTAAAGAACGTGGTGTATGTCATGTTCGAGTCATTTCAAACCTTTTTGAGCAGCATGTTTTGGCCCAACAGATTCATAAATGTGTCCTTGCAGCTACAAATGAGCCCAATGTTGTTTCATTCATCATACAAAAATTGGTAACACCTAGACGAGACACTAAAATATGTTTAGTTGCTAGAGGTTTTCTAGGCAGCAAGTGGCCAATACATAATATAATACAATATATTAAAAAAAAAAATTAGTTTACCTTAAATATATGCATGTTTAACAACACTGACTCTAAACTGGTGGGTCGTGGTCCACATGTGGGTCGCAGACCTGTTTTCAGTGGACCGCCTTTGCCTTGGCAAAACGTGTTCAAAGAAAAATACATCAACTTTATAAAATCAATCAACTTTATGATTATTACAATTAGTTTGAATGTGACTGAATAATTTTAATAAGGCATTAATGAGTATGTACTAGAAGTATGAACGAGTACGTACTCAACTAAAGCTACATATTCGGAGTATTTTTGAACTGACAAACAGTTAGTTTTTTTTTATTTTGCGTGTGCATGAAAGGAACTGTAGAGTTTATTTTTTTTTTTAAATGTTAGAAGTTACTGAAGTGAAGCGCTGCGCAGTTGATTTAGCGTAAAGGGAATATTTCCCGCTTGCATCGCCACTTGTTGGTTGTTTTGGTTTATTGTTAAACTTGTTTTTTTGGGGGGGCATACTGGGATATTCTGTTCTACTAGCTCAGGTTCAAACTGCACCATCTTGTCATTCAGTAAATTTAATAAGTTAAAAATTGTCTTCATGCGGCTTGTCATTAAGGGTCGCAGGTGAGTCCCAACACTAGAACAATTAAGACATTATTAAAAGACAAAACAACATATAGAAGAACATTACCGCCTAAAAAAACAAACTTAACTCAACTTTAGGCTACTTTAAGCTACTTGTACCAGCTGCTGCGTCTTCATTCTCCTCGTGGTAATTGGTTGAGAAAGCGCAGGTTGGACCAATTTATCAAATTATATTTTGTTTGTTTGTTTAAAGTGGCCGATATTGCCCAATTAATATCAATCAGCCAATCTATCAGGTGCACAAACTAAATTATTGACGTTTTATTCAGCTGATAATGTAAAGATTGTGTGGTTATTAACAAGCAAGTGCATTTAAGCTAAAACATAGTGGGAATTTCAATTAAAATATATTAGTAAAGTATGTTATTACTGTATATTTTTTAATGTTATCTCTTGTAAACATTGTACAGTTTCAGGATGAATCGGAACATGTTTGTCAAAACTATGCGTGTGCCTAAAAAAAAAAAAAAAATCAACTAATCATAAGATTTCTAATCCAATCTCGTTTTTCTTCAGCCTGTGGAAAAGTGTCGCATTGAAAGCAGCTTTAACACATCGTCAGGATGGACCCCAGTCAGAGCTCGGACTCAGAAAGTGAGGAGCTCCTGCTCAGAGTAGACTTCTTCAGGAAACTTGGTTACTCAACAACAGAGGTGAAGTCTGCTTTGAAGAAACTGGGCCTCAACACTGACACCAACTCGGTGCTTGGCGAGCTGGTTAGGAACAGAACCAACATTTCACCCAGCGCTTCTGACTGTGATGAGAAGATCTCAAGCCCTAAAGACTCTCTGCTGCCTTCCAGTTGGGATTTGGGGTCCTGCAAAATCGCACCACAACTCGGAAGCCTAAAGGGTTCTGACTCGGATCTGAGGCCTGTTGTTATCGATGGCAGCAATGTTGCCATGAGGTAAGCCTGATGACAAGTTGTTTTCTTTCCTGGAACTGAGATCATCACCTGAAATCTCAAACGCGTTTTCCTGTTTGTTTCACGTCCACATGACCTTCAGAACAACTATGAATTCAACTGTCAGTCGTTTTCCTCTTCTTATGACTCGAACGCTCGTATTTTAATTCACACTCACTGTTGACTTGGCATTTTCATAAATGCTAACCACCCTGCCTAAGCACGTTTTAACAAATGTCACTGATACATGCAAATTCAGGATCTGCCCCTTTTATTTGATATTAAGTGCTTTTTTAATATTCACAGTGAGTCATAGAGAGAAAGTTCCCTTATAGAGAACAGTTAAAGGCAACCAGTGTTTACACAGAGCAACTGAATTACTGCTGCTTCCCTTTGAGCGTTTTTTTTTTTTTTTTTTTCTCTATTCAGATAATATTTTTACTGATCTCTTCCCCCACGCCCTTTTTTCTTTTACAGCCATGGCAACAAGGAAGTGTTTTCATGTCGGGGCATAGAGCTGGCAGTGGACTTCTTCCTGGACAGAGGTCATAAATTCATTACGGTGTTCGTTCCCTCTTGGCGCAAAGAGCAGCCCAAAGCTGACGCCCCTCTGACAGGTGAGGACACGTGAAACATGAAACAGGCAGACGGTTTCTAGCAGGTAGGCTTGAGGTTGTTCGAGCCTTTTAAGCACACCTAAGTTGTGTTTTTGTAAGACACAAGTAGGAAATAAACGAAAGGCTGTAATGTAGGGTGTGCGTCTTTGAGCCAGAAAAGCTGACAAGTAGAGGAAAAACTAGTAGAAGTAGAAATACTGGAACTGAGGAGGTGGACTTGTTTCCAATATGTGTGAATAGCATAGATTGTTCTGCCTAAATCATAATGAAGGAATTGTCCACAAAATATTTTGAGGTATGTAGAACTCTCTTAATAAAAATGTATTGCGTAGGTATACTGTACCATGAAAAGAAATTCATAAAACTGAAGAAAAATAAAAGGTTGAAAAAAATGCATAAGATGGAGTCTAGTTTGGGGCCTGGACAGGTTTCAACAAGCATTTTGGCTTGTTAGTGCTGAGTCAGATAAGAAGAAAAAACACAACTTACCTTTAATCTTTAGCTTTAATTACAAGACTTGTTCAAGCTAAGAAATAGATAGTGGTGCAACTATCGCCTAAAGCTGATCCCAACTTCAAGTTGTTCTGCCTAATCTTTTATCCGTCTGTCAGTGATTCATGTAGTCCCGAGATATTGCAGCCACAAAACCACTACATTTATGTGTAACACATAAACATGACTCGTAAATTGTTTGAGTTTGAAGCTGTGGCAAGAAAAAGAGACGTCTTCATTTAAGGATCGTTTGCAGAATTCACAGAAAAGTGATCAATACATCTGCACTTATAAGAGTTGTTTCTATAATTCAGATTTATTATTTTTTTTTTTAATCATAGCTTCCTGTTTCTACACTGTATAAGAACAAAGCAGCCTCTTGAAACTTGCAACACCTTAGACTTCAGTATCTGCACAGCCTGGGTGGAGCAATCCAAAGGATCTATTTTCAGTCCCTGAATAAGGAAGTAAAAAATAAGCCCATGGCCGATTCCGGGAAAGTCCCATCAGGAACTTCTGATGTTTTTTTTTTTTTTTTCCTTTCTTTACTACTCTATGTAGATTGCAGACAATTATTTAACCAACCAACAGGTCATGTGGAAAAAAGTTACTCAGAATAACAAAAGCACCCACTTTACAAAGAGGTGCCACATGGTAAATATTACATGACCTGGCTGCTTGCTCTGCAGAGTTCACGGTTCATTTCATTGAACTTTTCACTCTTGAGTTAACATGAGTGTGTAGCATGTTGCACACATTAAAAGTAAAGCAAAAGGAAATAATCTGCATAAACCTAGGAGCAGAGGTGGCATTCTTCTTGCCAGCTTGTGTTTTCTATAAATAATCACTGTCTTTGAGGAAAACTTGTTGCATTTTTAAACCATTTTTTTCTGACCCTTATTATATGTTGTACTGACTGAACAATGTAGCAAATTGTGCAGCTAAATCCATAATAATCCTCTGTGTGTCATTTTATTGTTTGCAACTTCAGATCAACACATTCTGCTGGAGCTTGAAAAAAGGAAATTACTGGCCTTCACTCCGTCGCGCCGCGTCGGAGGAAAGCGAGTGGTTTGCTACGATGACCGCTTCATCATCAAGTTGGCGTACGAGTCAGACGGAGTGATCGTGTCCAATGACACGTACCGCGATCTCCAAGGGGAAAGACCCGAGTGGAAGAAATGCATCGAGGAGCGGCTCCTCATGTTCTCGTTTGTGAACGACAAGTAAGCATGGCGTGCCGCATCTTGTTTCCATTGAAGCTGTTCGATGTTGCAACTTCAGAAAAACACGTGCACCTGAGTTCATGGAAGTCAGTGAAGTCGGTTGTTTTTTGTTTTCTAACTTTTTCCTTGTTTGTTTAATCCAGGTTTATGCCCCCAGATGATCCTCTGGGTCGCCATGGTCCGAACCTCGACAACTTCCTTAGGAAAAAGCCTCTGCCTGTGGAACAGAAGAAGCTTCTCTGTCCATATGGTAAGAAATAATCAGCACAAAGATGAAGTATAATTCTTCACTACAGCTTGGATTTATTCAGTTGCTGCTTTTCTCGTTTTCTCAAATGAGACGGCTTTTAAATAACTCAACTGTGTTCTTTTTCATTTATCTTTAGATAAAAAGTGCACTTATGGTGTCAAATGTAAGTTCTACCACCCTGAGCGAGCAAACCAGTCCTATTTGTCCTTGGCTGATGAGCTGAGAGAGAAAGCACAGATTTCTGCTGTAAAAGAAGAAAAGAAGCAAAGAGTACAGGTCAGGCAGCCTCAGTCTGATCCTGAGCCTGCTCATATTGCTTGTGTCTATCCTCGAGATACACATCTCCCTCAAGATCAACAGAGCTCCCCACTTCCTGAGCAGATAAGTGAAAATAAACTCTTGTACTGGGAGGACTTTAGAAAAAACCCAAACCATATGCCAACTAGTGTAACAGGAGGCCAGTGTCAGAAAGAGTTTCCTGGGCTGCACTTGATGCCAAATCATTACTATGCCAACATGTCCCACGAGTATCTGGATTCTGGCTTTAGTTCCTTTGACAGTCCCTACTCAGATGTATCGCAGCCCCTCAGCAGCTCCCACAGATTCAGGCCCCAGCATCAGAGCCCTGGCGTCCAACATGCATCAATACCTCTAGAGGATAATACCCGTCGGCCTTGTAGGTGCTGTTCTCATCAGCAGCATCATCATCATCGTCATGAAAACGTTGACCGCAAGAGTCAACCCATCTATGACGCTTACCTTCCTCACATGTTCCCACCCAGTGTGCCCCATCAACACAGCCTTCCTACAAGTCATTTCCACAATAATAGTGCTCCCCATGTTCATCAGAATTACTGGTCGGATCCCTATCAGGGTCTGCCCCAATCCAGGACAAGTAACCTCCCCCCTTTGGTCCAGCCCTCACACTCACACAGCTCCTGCCACTCGTATAAGGCTCATCCATACCAAGCCTGGGCCCAGCAGCAGCCACCACCTTCAGCTGCATTTGACCCACAAAGATCAGAAGTGCGCAAGAAACTGCAAGCCATCTTCAACCCGCATCAGGTGGATAGGGTAATGGAAATGTTCCCCCAGCTGATGGATGCTGAAACGCTGGCTGCAGAGATCCTTAAACTGAAAGCTCAGCGAGTGATATTCTGATTATTTTTCTGTCTTCTTCAATTTAGTAAAAACTCGCGTTTGAGTTAAATCCCTTTGTCACTGAACAGAAAATGACTGGAGAAGATTTTAAACCGCCTGTCACAAGGGGAGAATTTAAAACTAATCAGGTGAAATGTGCCATTCTATTTATAAACAGTTTAGCCGGTCAGTTCTGACTTATTTGTATGACATTAAAGTCAAATGTATTCATGTCATCCATATTTTGGATGAAAAGGCCTCTAGACCACAGATGACTGAGATTCTAGAGTTTTGACTGTTGATACACATTGTATCAAGTGTTATCTGTTCTTGTGCAGTAATGAATATTTTTTATACTTTTACTTTCATTTTAGTTCTCCGTAACAGCCTGCTTGTTCAGTATTATCGTTTTATTTAGGTACACTCCTGATTTGGTTCAAGTATCTGAACTGAGAGACTCTCTTGTCCTGCAGCTAAAGGGATTTACCCAGTGTGCCAACTTGCTTTTCTGATAAATGTGCAGCATTTTTTTATGAAACAGATGCCTACAAATAAAACAAAAATCATGTATGCATCTAAATGTGCATAATTTTCCTGTAAATGTGTCATTTTCATGAAAAGAACACTTGTAAATAAAAATCTAAATTATGTATGCATTGCATACATTGTATGGTTTAACAAAACAATAAAATGTGGAATTCTCTCAAATAAATTCTCAAGAGATATATTTGTCATTGAATTGTTCTTACTGCTTAAAGTGAAATAAGATTTTATGTGCATAAAAATAACTAAGTGTACGCTACCCTTTTTCAAACGGGTTTATCAAAGACTAAAATATATATTGTAACATTGTTTTAAATTGTAGAAGCATTTTATCCATTTGATGGGATTTATCACACACATATACGTACATACATACATATATATATATATATATTATATATATACTGTATATACACAGTACTGTAGGCTTAGACTGCTGGATGACAAATTTACCACATTTCCTCCCTCTGCTGGTGTTTTTACTCGCAACTTGTAACTATTTTTTATCTTTAACGTGTTTATTGTCTTTCTTCCAATAGAAAGTACACCTGGACCTGTCATTCTGTGTCTGTTTCTCCTTCCTGTCCTCTCAAACCCCAAACAATCGAAGCAGATAGCCACTCGTCCTGAGCCTGGTTCTGCTGGAGGTTTCTTCCCGTTAATATGGAGTTTTTCCTTTCCCCTGTCTCCTTTGTACTTGCTCGGGATGGGAGACTGCGACTAAGTGAAGATTCAACACAATCTGCTGGCTTCCTTAGATAGAGAACTTTTAGTACTGTTAATTGGCTTTTCTAATGTTTGTGAATATTTTTGTACAATGCCCTGAGATGACTTCTGTTGTGACTTGGCGCTGTATTGTATAATTTCAGGTCCAGCTTAAAAAAAGTGTGCTTTCAACCAAACAAAAAGAAAAAGCGCGTCTTTACAATTCTTTGTTTTCCATTTTGAGATCGCACAAAAGATTTTATTTAGCCTGAACTTGTTTTTCTTAAATAATTCGTGCATGTGGTCATGCTTTCAAAGGTGTCGTGGCTAAACTTAGTGAACTTTATAACTATTTGTTTTGACTCATGTCTGTTTTGACTATTTCAAAAATGTGAATAATGCACACCGCCCACAGGAAACTAAAATAGCATGTGTGTTATCAAAGCAAACAGTCATATGAACGGATCGTCAGAACAGCACTGATGTAAAGGAAGTATTTTAGAATTGTAGTTGTACTGTTTTTATAAAAGTTTGAATATATAAGTACAACTGTAACAAGTTGTCCTGAGTGGGTTAATTACCAACTCTTCATATTACACCAGCATGTTACAAAATGTGTGACTACTGTAGCCTTGCATAGTTTATGTGCTGAGGTTGGCAAAATGGATTATAGTTACTCAGCAGTTTTATTCATTTAAATTGGCAACATATTACTGTCACAGATAACCGGTCAGAAAACTGAACTTTCATGTATGCTGTGTTTGTAAAATGGGGTGATTTATTGAGATGACACCAGAATTTTTTCATGCTAGTCAAATATTTAAACAAACGAAAATATATGTATACTGTGTATATATATATATATATATATATATATATATATATGTCTTGTACTTCTGGTTTAGACTGGTGGTTGATGTGTGGAGCCTTGAAAACATCTACAGAAATAAAGTTGACTTTAAAACTGAACACCAGTGGCATGTCTAGGCCTGTCGGGATAAACAAAAAATCAATTAATCGCATGATAAATGAAAATTATCTGCCTCGTTTTCATTTATTAGCTTTTATTGTTGTTTCGTCTCTCTCTTTCTACTGAAGACACTGGATGACAAAAAGCTCAACTCTGGTGCTTTTCACTGACCCCTCCCTTTCTCTTTTCTCTTTAAAATCCATTTTAAACGTCCAAAATCACGTTTATGAATCGTTAAAAGCAGCTAAGCTGAGAAGCTAAGCTAGCAGGCCAACCTAGGAAAAAAAAACTACATCTTGTCCAAGCTCCAAAATTCACGGTTGAAACCCGTGCCTTCTTCTAAAAGTTGTTTTTCTCTGCAAAAAGAAGCTGAGAACTTGTTTTCTGTTTTTTAATTAAAAGCGTTGTGTAAAAATCCTATGCTAAAGAGCTCAAACCACACCGAGCATCCACCATTTTGAGAACCGAAAAACAGGAAAGACCTCCCTCCCATTTTTCCTAAAGATACACTGCTCACTCCCTCACTATCCATTTTTTAGTTCAAACGGTGTTATACTGCCATCTAGTGGTCAAAAAAGGTACTACACACAAAAATGAACAAACATTTATTCTTAAATTTGACGATAATTACTAGTTATCGTCAAATTTCAAACAATATTATCGTTTATCGCAATAATTTTTGAGACAATTAATCGCCCAGCAAAATGTGTTATTGTGACAGACCTAGGCATGTCTAACCCAAACTGTTACAAATAGATGAAAATGGTCATAAATGGACAGAAAATGATCTAATGGTTGATGAGGCTCTTTAAATTACTTGTTAACCAGGAAAATTTGTGGCAGTAAGTTTCTGTGACTTACATTTTGTTGGTCAAAAATGTTAAAAGTTTTGGAACCACTGGTCCAGACAATACATGGAAGTCATTTCAATGTATACATAAAATATATACATATTTTCATTCACTTTTAGTCATGTTGTTGTTAGAGCACAGATTGGAAGACAGGTTCTTGAGTAAAGAGTCATGACTTAACATACTTTGTATACTGCCTTGGAATAAAATTTTATTTGTTTTAAATGGATAACAATGGATTTTATAGGTCTTCTACAGAGATTTCAGCAGTCATACATGTCTTTTCTGGGTTTTTGATACAAAATTTGTCTTAACCATGAAAAGTTATCCACAACATGAATAGCAGACCATTTGTTAACCTATTTGTGAGAAATTCTCCATTATTCCCAGGCCATCAGTAGTTTGTGAAATGGCACAAAGACACCATATCCAGGTTTGCTGCAAAGAAACAAATAATGTTAGAATCAATACCAAAAATAAATACATGATATTTATATGTAAAGGCATTCACTACTTCACTGCGACTTTGGAACAAGTTTTTAGTCTTTTCACTCAAGAAAACTCATGCTTCACCTTTTAAAAGCTGTACCTGTTAAAAAGGCTTGAACTTTGCTAAATCAGCTCTGCAAACATGTGAAGGCACTTTTACTCACACTATTTCTTTTCAGAAATGAACTAATGTCAGATTTCAAACGGCTGGAAATAATTTCAACTTTTAAAAGACGTCAAAATAAAAATGTCTTTAAGCAGTCACATGACTTTGTGAGAAGTGAAATGCTGAGATACTTGTAACTGACACCACATAGACCTTCTTGTCTTCATTCAACCATGAATGATGTGATTTCTTTACAAATTAAAGCAGTTACCAGTCAAAGTAGCTCTGTCCACTGTGACTGCCATCACCCAGAGCTGCATCAGGAGTCTGCAGCTCCACTCCAAGGTGGAAATCTGCTTCCCCCTGCAGGTGTCCCAGGAAACGAATTGTTCCTGTGCTGATCCTGCCAGATGGCAGCATGATCCTGACCCGGTGACCCAGTTGCAAGTCCATAGGTGAGTGAGGAACAAAAACCCGATGAGGCCCATGAGATGTCCTTCGTGACTGCTCACTGGAAAAAATAAAATATTTAGTAAAACAAACAAAGATTGTGTTTTTGATCTACCCAGCTATAATGAGCTCTTTGAGGAGCACAAGATCTGTGAAGGATTTTATCCAACTAATTACCAATCGGTTGTGTTTTTGTTGGGTTGGAATGAGTGATATTGCCAAAATCTGTGAAACCTTGTGTAAAAACTTGGTATCCATCATTCTCATCTTATTTTAGGAGCCATTTAAAACAGCTTTTCAAGTTGTTAAAATTATTACAAACTAAAACCTGCTGACTTAACTCAACTGCTGAGATAAAGCTGATGTGTCTTGGGTTGGGTTGATCAAATGTTGGTTAAAAACGTTTGACTCAGTGGTTGGTTCAGAGATGAGCCATGTCAATCTTCATAGTCCGCCATTTTAAGCCAGAATTTGACCAAATTAAACCTGGCTGGACCTCTGCTTTATGATCTAATAAGACGGTATTTAACCTTGTTGGCTTTTTTAAAGAACTTAAGCTTGCACTAAAAAGTGAGTTTGCATTCTTAAAACAACATTACAGTAGTCCCTCGTTTATCCCTACCCTGAAGGCCCGCAATAAGTGGAAAAACCGCAAAGTAGGGGTAGTACAAGTAGTAAGTAGTAGTAGTAGTATATATATATAAAGGCGTTTTAAACCCTTCCCACACTCTTGTAATAGTCTAAACAATATTTCTAAACTCTAAACGCTCTAAAAGCACAGAATGTCATTATCTCTGCTCCCTGCCTCAGCTGCTCTTTGCCACTTGCAAGCGCTCTTGGCCACGCCCATTTCCCCGACAACTGATCAGTTGCAGGAGGAAGCTTTTTCTGCAGCTCTGGCAAGGGCGTCCGAAGCATCCGTAATGTGGGGGGGACACAATGATGTGTGTGAGCGCGCACGTGTGTGTGCATGCGCGCGTAAAAAAAATGTACAGTGTACAAAAAAAAAACAGCATTTCACCTAGATTTCCATTAATTCCACACATTTAAAGCATTTTCTCACCAAGTTTGTGTAAATTCAGCTGTGGGTATTTTAAGACATTTTAACTTTAATACACTTTAATACAGAACGTCAGGTCAACACTATTTGTGGTTATAGAGAAATAAAAAACATCACCACTAGACTGTTTTACTTGTGTTCAACACTACTCATCTAAATGATGTTTCTCACAACATTTGAGGACACTAAGGTGTGGGGTTTTAAAGACATTTTAACTTTAATGCACCTTAACACACAGCGTCTCTTACACCTGCAGCCTCTTACAGCGTCACAGTTACTGCTAAGCTAAGATGCTACGTAGCGCTCCTCTCGCAGCCTCCTAACCATTATGATCAATCCCCCCTGGCCAACAACTGCCCGCACTGAGCTCGCTAAACTGGCGAGCGACTAACACAGAGGTGTCTCCATCTCCTCCACTGCGCGTTTTCTGCCGAGGCAGGAGGAGACAGAGGAGAAGCACTGCTGTTTAGAGTTGGAGGTAACCAGGAAAACCTGGAGTGGAGTTTTAGTGGCTCGAGTATTCTTCTATTAATCAAGTGGAATGGATTTGTTCACAAAGAAAGAAACAGCACCGACTGAACTAATGTTTCATAGTAAAAGTGTGTGTGGGTGGGGGGGGGGGGGGGGCCAAATGAACGGTTTTTGAATGTGGGGGGGACATGTCCCCTTCACATATAATGGTTGGGACGCCTATGGGCTGCACAAATGTGCAGCAGGTGCTAAATAATTTAAAATAATTTATTTTAAATAAAAATTCCAATGATGAATGATGATCGTGCGGCTCATCCATCAATCAGCCAGTTTTGTGTCGTGTCCAATCTTATTTTGAAAAATCGCGATAAACGAACCGCGAAGTAGCGAGGGACTACTGTATTTGGTGCTAGCTGCCTGGTGCCAATAGCAGTTAGCAACAGCTAGCTAGCACGTCTTGTAAGTATCTAATATCCAGATTTTTAAACGTTACTTTTAACATAAACATTTTAGTAGTTCTGTTTAAACAAATTGGGTGTTGTATCCATTTTTTGGGGGGGTGACAGCTTAACTCAGTATGCTACGTTAGCACAATAACCTAACCCTGCTCAGTTAAGTAGGACTATCTGACCCAGTGTTGGGTTAAACATTGATTTGTTTTTGACCCAGCAGGTTTTACTGTGTAGTAAATTAACCGTTGTTAGTGAACAAAATGTAACTAGTTGTCTCCCCTTCTTTCCAGTCTTTGTGCTAAGATAAACCTAAAAAAATTGCTGTTACACCATATTATTCATTAAAATGTGTCAAACTTTTTTTCTAACTGCATGCAGTTTCTCCTTCAATACCTATAGACTGAAGATAAAGAGGAAGTAGGTCTTGAGCTCAGCGGGGATGACAAGGATACTTGGCTCTCTGACAAACTGCATGAACAGCCGTCACCTCTTGATGACACTTTGAACCGTCTGTGTTTGTGAGAACCACCTGTTCATCAGAGAGTAGCTTTGTTACTGAGTAACAATGTTCAGATTTACTGACAAATGATTTGCCCATCATTTACCTGAACATTCATCAAACACCTCTCCGCTGTCCACTCCTGACTCTCCATGACCGTCACAAGGGCCCACTTTCACCAACTCTTTAGCACCAGAGGCGAACTGAGGAGAGTAAGGCCAGTGTTGATGATGAGTCAGAGTCATGTCAACAACATACACACACTTTCAGAAGCACACCTGATTACGTAGCTCTTCCTGCTGTCTTTGCAGCTCAGAAAACCTCATTTCCCATGATGCTCTCTCACAGGTAATTCTGGTCTTGAGGGACAGGATCTCTCGCTCAGTTTTGGTCAGCCTTTTATTCAGGACATTCACACGATCAGGGCTACCTGGGATGGCTGTCACTTTAGTTTTAGAAGCTGTTAAACAACAAATTAAACAAAAGACTATTATAACTTTACCCTAATGCAGTTTTACAGACAAAGCCTTATTTTTTGTATTTTAGAGCCTTTTTTTTAATGAAAGCCTTACCAACAAGTTGCTTCACCGGTCTGCTTTCCTCCTTTGTTTTGTATTTTTGCCTTGGTATGAATTTAATAGCATTGTACGGGCAAATCTACACTCCAAATGAACAGTGGCACCATGATTTACAGCTTTTGTAATATATTATTACAAGTCATCATAATGGAAATAAAATAACTCTTTTTGGAAGCATTTACTCACCCAAAGAAACCTGCAGGTGCAGAGTATCCCCCTGTATGTCCAAGTAAACAGAGTCTGCAGCATGTATGTTGTCATGTTGGAGTATCGTCCAGTCACATTAGACTATCCCAATCAGACAATGAACAACCAAATGTGTTCATCTACTACAACAAATAAAAGAACAGTTTGAACTTCAGTATTTTCTTAATTATGTTACTTTTGTGAGTTGAGTTAAAAAAAAAAATCAACAAGCTACTATTGGTTGTGCCATTAGACTGAAAAGCTAAAAGCTAATTCACATGTGACAACGCAGAGGGCACTGACCTTTTCCTGCTCATCTGTATGATGGGAGAAAACTCCCATATGACTTCATGATCAAATATTGTCTCCCATTTCTGATCACTGAGCCTCCGTCCGAGTCTTTGATGAATGTTAATGTGATGCGTTTGACCTGTTGCTAGGCTTCAGCTCTGCGTGAACAGCACTCAATGAGCTAAATCTCCACTAATCTTCTTAGTCATGCAATTACACAGTCCAGTGGTAGACAGGCTGTTTAATTTGGTCTGCTGAGCTTTATACTGTAAACATATATAAATACTCTGACAGGGCCTTTTCACTGTCTTCATATTTAATGCATCTGTTTGATCAACACACACACATACACATCATTTTCAATGTGACAGTTCCTCATTGTTTCTGTCTGAATGGGAAGGAATCTTTGAATTTCAAACATCGGAAATTTTGGACAATTTTTATTGTTTTTTTAATGTACACATAAACAGCAAAAGAGACATAATTAACAATAAATTTTGTCTTATTATTACAGACATGCAGGATTATATATTTAAATTTTGGCACGTGGCCTTTTTGTCATAACATGATGCATGCTGCTCATTTTTACATAAAATCCTGTATCTGGGAGGTTTTATTTGATATATGTATATATACACACACACACACACACACACATATATATATATATATATATATATATATATATGTATAAATTATTTTAAAGTAAATTTATTATTTCAGTCACATGGTTCAAGGTTCTTTATTGTCGTTCACATCACATGTGGTGCATGAGACGGAACAAAATTGTGTAGTCAGGGTTCCAGTTACACCCAAAAATTGCAAAAATATAAAGTATAAAAAGAAATAGTACATTTGGATCTAAGACATACACTAAACACTAATAATGTAAAATGATAAAATGATATGGTGTATTCAACAGCAGCCCGATCATGAGTCCGTGGTGAGTAAATGGGTATGAATGAATACAGCAGCATGAGATCAGCAGCATGAGATCAGCAGCACAGATAAGTCACATATCACCAATTAAAGTGGCATTACAGTGATTTTAATTTTTTTTCTTACAGTGATCATCCTGGTTAGGGATTTATGAGTCTAACAGCTTCAGGGTAGAAGCTGTTCCTCAGTCTAGTGGTTCTACACTTAATGCTCTGCAATCTCTTGCCTGAGGGGAGTGGGGCAAAAAATGTGCATGCTAAGGTCCCAGTTACACCCAAAAATAACAAAAATATAAAGGATAAATAAAGAAACAGTACACAAGGGTCTAATGTATAGGCTAAACAATAATAAAGTGATATAACAGAGTGTAATAAACAGCAGCCTGAACAGTGATGTGTACAAATACACACACCAATATTGTGTTGTTAGCATTAGTGCATGCTTTAATAAGATACCTAAAATCAAGATTTTTAACTATTAAAAGTGACTCCTACATTTTCATTATCACTTTTGTAAAGCTGTTGCTCCAAGACGGATTGTTACCAGTTTACCTAATAAATTATTTGATCTTGTCAATCGTATAACAAAATAGTAATTATAGTAAAATAGCTGTGCAACGTATAAATACAGTTTTAAAAACTATAACTCATAAGCTTAAATTGTTCAGCATGTTTGTTTTTTTTATGTTAAAAGAGGCACAATACTTATAGTTTGAACTTGTAGTGGTTTATATTATTGCACAAACTTTACAATGCTAGAATAAAATGTTAATAATTTTGGTTGGTTTTGTTGTGCTAGAACTTTTTTTGTATTTGTTTAGTGGTTAGACAAAATAGCTTTGGGCATTATCATTTTTGCTATAAAAAACTGATACTGTAATTTATTAAGTAAAAATTTACAATAGTCCAAATAGGTTCATTTTATAAAAAATAAAAAAAAAGTTTTTTTTCCCCGTATGAATTTTAAAAACAGAAAAAGAAAACTGTAAATTAAACTTTTATTGACCAAATACAAATATGTAAAATTAGCTTTCAATGAATAGCTTTTGTAATATGGTAATTTGCTTTTCCACCACTGACATTAAACTACACCTTATTATTTATCTACTCTTTCCACACAATAATTAACTTATTTATACCTAATATGTTTCTCAGGTTGAAATGGGTACAGAATTTGGATCATTCAGTTTGTTTACTCAACCACAGTTTCACTGAACTCATTCTTGGAAAAAAAAAAAAAAACAACATGTTTTGTTTTTGAATTTTCGGTTTATGTGACAGTACAGGTGCTCACATTCAGGTGAAACATGAGACAAATGGCTATTACACCCCAGGAGAATTGTTGGGTGTGAAAAGGTGTATAATTTTAGGCCCTAGGCAAATAATGCCTTCATTGAGATACTAAGAAAAACACATCTCAAGTTCTGGGTCATGGCCTTAGTACACAAATTTAACAACATGTCCCTCGCACACACAATATGAGGGCAAACAGCAACGTTTTGTTCCAATCTTTGAAATCATTAATTATCATCCCAGCATTATGGACATTCATTTGACCCTGACATTTTTAGTTTCATGTTTTTTTTTCACAATACAGACATTTCTTGTACAACTTTTGTTCCGTTAAAACCAAAAACAACATTTTAATAACATCTCTCAGTGCGGTGTGTTTTTGTAGAAACTTAAGACCACAAGTGATGCTTGAAACCCTGCCATGCACACCACTATTGTTCAGTGTTCTCCTGGTGGTGGACTCATGAACATTAACATCAGTCAATGTGAGAGAGGCCTTCAGTATCGTAGAAGTTACCCTGGGGTCTTTTGCGACCTCGCCCACTTTTACACACTTTGCTCTTGGAGTGATCTTTGTTGGTCGACCACTCCTGGGAAAGGTAACAATGGTCTTGAATTTCCTCCATTTGTACACAGTCTGTCTGACTGTGGATTGGTGGAGTCCAAATTCTTTAGAGATGGTTTTGTAAAATTTTCCAGCCTGATGAGCATCAACAACTCTTTTTCTGAGCTCCACAGAAATCTACTTTGTTCCTGTCATGACACACATCCACACACATGTTGTGAAGAGCAGACTTTGATAGATCCATCCATCCATCCATCCATTATCTTTACCCGCTTCTTCCATTTTGGGTCACGGGGGTCGCCGGTGCCCATGTCCGGCAATCACTGTGTGAGGGGCGGGGTACACCCTGGACGGGTCGCAAGTCCATCACAGGGCCACATAGAGACAAACGACCATTCACTCCCTCGCTCACACCTAGGGACAATTTAGAGTTACCAATCAGCCTAACATGCATGTTTTTGTTCTGTGGGAGGAAACTGGAGTATCCGGAAAAAACCCACGCATGCATGGAGAGACCATGCAAACTCCACCCAGAAAGGCCCCCAGACCGGGATTTGAACCGGGGACCTGCTACTTTGATAGGTCCTGTTCTTTAAATCAAACAGGGTGCCTACTCACAGCTGATCATCATCCCATTGATTGAAAACACCTGACTCTAATTTCACCTTCAAATTAACTGCTAATCCTAGAGGTTCACATACTTATACCACTCACAAATAATGGATCATTTTCCTCAATAAAGAAATGACCAAGTATAATGGTTTTTTTTCTCATTTCTTTAATTGGGTTCTCTTTATTTACCTTTAGGACTTGTGTGAAAATCTGATGATGTTTCATATTTATGCAGAAATATAGAAAATTCTAAACTGTTCACAAACTTTCAAGCACCCCTGTAAGAACCAACGCCTTAAATATATCGCATATAACATTTATTTTTGTAGTTTTTCCATCACTATTTTAGAATTGTGGTAAACTGTTTGATCATTTGTCCTAATGATCCAAGAATACTGTTGAAAAGTTCACAGCAAAACAACTTATAGAGTGCAATTCCAAACCTTGAGTGGTTTTATGTGGATTTTTGAAATAATCCACAATCCTTCAGCTAATTTTTTTTTCATTCCTTTACACGTTTCATGATGCTTTGATGAAAGAAGGAAGAACCTCTCTGTCATCTGAATTGCAAAAGTTCGTTTGGTGTTGAGCCCAAGAATTCTACTTTCTTTAGGCCACAAAGAGGTATTTGTTGTGTTCGGGGGCTTTATGGCACACACACACACACACACACACACACACACACACACACACACACACAGGGGTCTCTGATTTCACATTGTGTTCGACAGAAACCAGGAGGCTCCCTATTCAATCACACCACAGGGCTCTGAAATCTCACCTGCACTCTTATAGACTTGCAAAAGCGTAATCCACTGAAATATTTCAGTAAATCTTTAATTGCTAGCTGCGTGGTTTCAGCTAATCAAAGCAACCCAACACTGGACTCTGTATAGTTATACCTTCTTTTAGAATGAGAATACTCAAGAAAGTTGCAGTAAACAAAATATGATTGGGAATACGATAAAAATGAAAATAAAAATAAAAACTTCTGCTCTATCAGAGCTGTGATTGCAAATAACCCAAATAAGTGATTGAATGATACATATGTTAAAGTCTCTGGTTTAACGGATCTGAATCATCAAAGCACGTAACTTGTGATAGCGAGTTTATTTTAATGTGCGGTTATCGTCTTATTCTGGAAATTCCCTCCCAAAGAAGTTTTCATCTGTACAGTAATCATGAGCACATCGTGCTAAGACCCACCCAGCAGGCCTCTGCTGTCCCCTCCTCTTTACTCCTGGTGCAGATGAGAGTTTCCCACTTGTTACATTAGAGGGCCGTCAGCAGGAAGCAACTGAAGCGGGTGACGGAGCGTAACGGAGAAAAGGAAATAACCTGCACGGTGGGCCACAGGTGAGTGAACTTCATATTAAGACTCTGTAAGGTGAGCCCAACAGACCTGAGATATTTATTCAGTGGAAAACAGTGCATTGTAACATGACAGCAATATAATGGAATGATAGAACAGGTTGATGTGAGTTTTTATTTTTTCTCCTTCCCAAAAAAATTGAAGATTTTAAAATAATGTTAGCTAGGTACTAGCAATCAGTATTTGTAAATTAGAATGATTATTTATGTATTTTTGTGTCTGTAGTAGTAGATTTTTTTTGTCTTAACACAAATTTTTCTACTTAAATTTACAGGAATTTGATGACAAACTTATTGAGCTTTAATGCCAGATGTTCTTTTGCAGTTTTTATCTCTTTCCTGAAACATGTTAATAAGTAATTGTTTCTCAAACTTATTCATTTTAATATTTTTTTAAACATTGATCCAAGTATGACGTCAAACCTTAACTAAAACAACAGGAACATCCTCTAAATTACAAGTTCATGTCAGGAAATCGCCACAATTTGTTGTAAACATGAGGATTCACACTCAGTCCTGCACTGTGCACACAATAAGAATTTTTTTTCCAGTGAAACTCAACATTAATCTACCCCTTGTTGGCATGGAAGCCAAAAATGGCCAGTGTTGTAGTACCCTGTTTCCAGGGTGTAGTACCCACAGGAGCTCATGAGATCCAGGCGAGAAAGGAAAAAACAAGCCGTGCCTCTTAGCAGCCCTCCCAAGTGGACCGCTCAGAGAACAAACACATTTTAATTGTGCTCGATGCGAAACCACCACGAACCAAAACACTGAAGATGTAATTGCAGACCAACGCTGAACTAATCCATGCAATAATTACTTCATGGAGTAATACAACTCTGCGTATATATGATGTTTAAAATGCATCATGCTTGGATCCTTTTGCGTCATGTTTTGGATCAGAATTGTTCTGCAGGCATTCTTCTAACTCTTGACACTTTAAAGCTGATATTCACAAGCTTCTTGTCCTGTGACTCCACCAAACAATTATGAGATCAGTTTCATCGGGACAGTTTGAGGATTGTAAAAAGAGATGGCCACAGATGAAAAGAACTGGATGGGTGGGTTACAATGAATGAACATTGCTGTTATTCGCTACGGGTAAACAGCGAGAGTTAGACCTTTTGTCATCATATAAATTAGGGTTTTTGGTTGCTTAGTTTCCTCTGTTGTCAGACACTTGTGTGTGAGGTGTTGTGGATGTTAAAGCAATGTGTATGACATACGTTTGTTGAAATTTGACAGCTCGTATGTTGTTACAGGCTGGACAAAGAGCTGTCTCCCTTTCTTTCATTGGGATAATGGCTTTCATAAAGACCTCAGGTAATGAGTCTATGTCTCTTTATTTTAAATCTCTGTTGTTTTCATCTTCATTCCTGTTTCAAACCAGTCACTTATTTTAATCATATCTGATAATTCAGTTTTATTTTTCAGGAACAAGGTTTCAGAAAATGCCAAGGAACTGCAGCAATAGACAGTAATCTTTTAGTTTTGGGTATAAATTGAAAGGACTGTGGGAGGAGGAGAAAAGGAGAGGTCCACAAACTGAGACAAGGGACCAAAAGATAAATAAACTGCTGGAATATTTCTATTATCTGGAAAGTTCCTGCCACACAAACAGGCTGCACATGAGGTCGACAACTTCTCTGGGATAAATGCTAAAATCATATATCTTAACATGTTTACATTGATAATGAGATGACATTCAGCACAATAACTTATGATTACTTATTTACTTATCCATGTAGAAACAGGATCTTAGGAAATTTTGTATTTTAATATTTCTAAACATGCAAAAATGTACAGTAACCACCAATGAACATGTAACTTCTAGTCATGGCTTCTTTAAAATGAGGCATTTTGACATAAGGTATTCATTAAAAAAAAAGACAAACAAAACTCCAGGTTATTATTGAATTATTAATACAATTTTTATCAATTATTAAAGGTAATCCTGTGGGGAGCATAAATGTGTGTACCAAGTTTCATGTCTAGTTGTCTGGCTTTTTTATTTTATTACAAACATTAAAGGGTATGTTGAATATTTGTAAATTTTAAATTTATCAGCTGTTGGTCCGATATGGTGCAAAAGTGTTTGACAGATTTTACAAAAAAAAAAAATCTTCTTACTCAACGTCACAGATGAGAATAGATATTTGTTCCTCTCTTTATAGAATTTGTTCACGCAAAACTTTGTGGTATTCCCACAACCCCTATAAGCCAAAGAGCAATTTTTGGATATTTATTTCTAAAAAGAGTATTTTTGGACCCCGTGTGTCCATCGCCTCTCACACAGTAACTGCTGGATATGGGCACCAGTGACCCCTGCAACCCAAAAAAGAAGAAGTGGATAAAAGATAATGGACAGATGGATGGACTATGTTTGCAAGACTAAATTTAATAGCAAACAAAAACAATATCTGACTATGTCTAGCTATTTTCAGTTTATTTTAAAGGCCCAGTGGAGTTCATTTTCTTTTTGTCTGCTTCTAGGCACCCTTCACCTTTTATTAGGACTACTTCTGCTTTTAGTATTAGTGGGAGGACAAATCTCTCCTGCACCATCAACAGATGCCTCCACCATGACTGAGGCACTGACTCATGTCCATGAAACTACCATCCCAAGCTCCTCTCAAACCTCCACTATGGCCGCAACCAGCATGGCTCAGTCCACTGTCTCCAGCACTAATGAAGGTACTGTAACCACCACCTCCACTCAGTCACCCACATCCACCTCCGGAGGCTCAGACCAAAGCACCACCCAGTCTCTCACCTCCACCTCCAGAGGCTCAGGCCCAAGCACCACCCAGTCTCCCACATCCATCTTTGAGAGGATGGCATCCAGCAGCATGCTTTCTGCCACAAGCACCTCCGGAGGCTCATCATCCAACACCCCACTCACAAGCACCTCTAAAGGCACGGTACCCATCAGCACTCGAATGTCTCACAAGTGAAGTGCAGTAAACAAAGCAAGCCCGTTTTGTCAGTATATCCACTTCTAAATTCTCTTTTTGTGTGCATCAAACTGTAGCTTCCTCTTTTCTGGCTCTTTGTTACCTTCTCTGGACAGATTAATTTGATGTATGCAAGAGTCAGGTCAACATGTTAGAGTTACGCTAGGTGAAATGTAGGGGTGATGTCGGTAGGAAGGATGCTTGTTTCAGTTAATAGGGCCAGGTGTCCTCCTTGGATACTGGTAGTGGAAACACTGCATTTGGACCTGAAATCATTGGACAAACATACGTGTAATTGTGAGGGCTGTAACTTGCATCAAACTGTACTGAAGGATCTAGCAATGGGTCTATCAGGGGAGTTTCTCTAGTTTGTCTGTGGCACCTCATGAGACATCACTTCTGAAGGGCAAAAATTCCCCCCCAGCATCTAAAACAAGAGCACCTACATTGGCAGTTTCTCCATTTTCTGATTTATTACCTCATGTAACCTAGTCAAACCCAACTTTCAGGTTCAAGCACAATGAGTTCATTTTCCATCGTGAGTTCAAGTTTCTCAACATCAGTGATGACCTCCTATTCAAGAATATTTGTTTTTCTGCCATGTAGAGAAACGCTTCAAGCCTTGTTTCTCCGTCATTGAAAACAAACTATTGCTGCCAATAGTATTAATAAAATATTGCTTTATTTTCTATCCAACCATGACATCCATTTTTTTCTTCATAGCTGGCATGGGCGCAACATCTAATGCTACTTCAATGAATATGGCAAGTCACCCTTATTCGTAGCATTTTATTGTTGTATTTAGGACGTCGCTACTTTTCTTGTTCCTTTGTTACGTTTATATAATTACTGTTTGCCTTTTACATCTTTCTGACACAGTTGTGGTGCCCTTCGTTCATGTGTTCCTACTCTGAATGCTACTCGATGTACACCAGTCACAATGCCACTGAGTGTACTGATGAGAACCATTGTCAGGTAAGAAAACAAATGACTCAGACAAACCTTCTTAATCTCTCGGGTTCACCTGTTTGTTCATTAAAGAACACTATAATTGCTAATTATGAAGGGCTGCTGGTTTGCAACTGCAACTTCTATTTGTTTTTGTTTAAAAAAAACTGAATATTAATCTAAATGTTTGTTGTGCCATTGTTTGATATTTCAGCTGATGAGGTGTCCCAACATGATGTACAACGTGAGCTGCAGTGACACTTGTGAACAAAGTTGTAACGGCACTTCTCAGATCAACTGCTCTGTGAATTGCTGCAATTCCACTGGATGCCTCAATGAAACTTTTGCATCCATGATGATGACATCTACAAGTGAGAACTGTTTAATCTCATTGTGCATACTTTCGTTTAGTTACATTCCTCGTTTTTCTCAAATGTATACATAATGGGGATCGCTTATTTGGTGAACTTGTCCTTTCACTAATGTTTTATGCATTTCTTGTGTCCTCTAAGTGGCCATGACAACAACAAGCACATCCCAATCAAGCTCCTCTACGACATCAACAACCGCATTCAAGGTAAAAACTCATAATCTTTGTGTGAAGTTGTTCAGGCGTGTGAATGGTTAGATTGATGCAAAGCTATTAATAAATCTGATACATTTTATGCTTGTTTTTATACCCTATGACAAATTGTGTTACGATAATCAACTATAAGCATGTTAAAGGTTTGTCTAGCAAGGTAATTAGTACATCATCAACCTTTTTTTATTTATGTATTGCACATTTCAGGGAAATAAATGCCAAATGGGTACATGCAATGGTGACACATGCTACACAACTTTTAAGGCTAGCACGTCTGAAACATGCTCCTCCTCACAGCCATACTGCCAGGTAAGAAGTCACAAATGTCACATTAATCTTCAGGTTAATGCCACTGTTGATTTTAAGCAGATTCCAAACTGTTTTTTTTTTTTCTTTTTTTCTTTTTTAGGTTTTTTTTTTTTTTTTTTTTTTTTTTTTTTAGATACTATATGAGCTATAAATTTGAGTCGAAAATCCAGGGTCCGGTGCAAACTAAAAACACAATTATCTGGAACCTTTAAAATATATTAATTAATAAAAAGAAGAAGAATTCACTGTTTAAACTCTAGAAATATGAAATAAAAAATCCAATTATATAACTTGGATTTTTTTTTTTTATTACAGTAGTCCCGCTTTTATTTTGGGGGATCCGTACCATGAAGCCCCGCAATAAGTGAAAAACCGCGAAGTAGGAATTGTAGTACAAGTGGTAGTTTATTTTAGTATAATATATATCTATATATATATTGCTATATATTACTACTATTACTTATTATTACTTATTACTACTATTACTCTAATTAGCATAGAACTTGAATGATGTTTCTACTGTGTAGAATGTCTGGACTCCAAACAGGGACCAAGCTTCACTTTTTGGGTGGCTATAACTCAAAAATAGACATATACCAAAACATATACTAAGGTATCACACCAGTGCATCCCTACCCTGTAGCCTTCATCAAGCTGAGATAAAATGTTTATTTTCCCAAACATTGCTGGTCGCAGTGCATCTTCTATGTGGATCCCAGATTGTTCATGTTTCTTTCTAAAAAAAATGTTTTAAATCAGTCATACTTGTCTTAATCCATGCTGGGTTAGATCCTGACGTTTGAAAAAGGAGGCATGGAAAGCAGAATAAAGCATTAGCCTCGCTACATGCAGTTAGCTAAGTCTTGTTGCTAAACCAGGTCCTGGAAAAAGATAGTGTACTGTCTCCCTCTGTCTTTGGACTGCTGATTATTTGTGATGTTCGGCTGATCAGGTCCGAGCTCTTTCACCTCTAGCTTCTCCTGATATGCTCTTCTCTCAAAAGGTATTGTTTTAAGTGACTTCACTGAATTGTTTAATTTCTCTTGCTCCATTTCGCATCTCTGTCCAATCATCTCAAGCTGCATTCAGCTCTGGGCGCAGGAGAGGTGCGCCCCAGAGTGGATCTATCTCTTGTAGCGAAGAGGAGTTACTGTTCATGTACAACTTTTAACAAGAGTCTATGGGCAAAGATTTTTGCCTCCCAGAGCATAAGTATGTCACCAATCAGACAACGCTGATGAATGAAACAACTTTACTCATCATTAACTATAAAATATTTGTCTTATACATATATTTCAAAATATTTTTATTTTATTATTTTATTTTTATTGATTTTTTTACGTCTAATTCAAGGTAATGTGGTGAGTGGTGGGGCGGCGCCCTTGCGCCCTCTATTGGCGAGCCGCCATTGGTAATGCATTGGTGCCATTAATTATAATAAAACCTGTTATTATTATAAGAGGAAGAAGGATTAAAGACAAAAGTTGTGCTTTTTTAAATTAAACTTTTACCATTAAGTTGGACAGAAATTTTCTCTCTTTTCTTAATCTTTATTGTTTTATTTTTAGCTAAAAAAGACGATAGCGGGTTCCACTGTATCATGGACTGCAGGTTGCGCTGATTGTGCAAAAGAAACGGTCTGCAAAGCCACTACCGTGCCTCCGTGTGTCCTGGAGTGCTGCAACGCCACCATGACATCCTGCCTGGTTTTGGATGGCACGACGAATGTGAATGTCAACTCTTTTGCCACCAGAGGCCCTCATCTCCACACAGAATTGATTGTTTCCTTACTTTGCCTGCTTTCTATCACATTGCTCCTGTGAGAGCAAGAGCATTTGTCTGCTCAGCTGCTGTGTTGGTCACCATTTATCCTGCCCAGAGCTTTACATCCCTCCAGAAATGAAGCTATTATGAGACACATTTCCATACATGTATGTTGCTGATTTTTGTTTATGATTGCATTCAAATAAGAACTGCATCAATAAAACATTGATTCGTTCATTTTTGCCTTGATTTATATGTCTCTCAGGCGTGTTTATTTCTTGTTCAAGACAAAAACGTATTTGAGCGTTAAAAGAAATATCAGTTAAGATGAACATGCCCGGAGCAACGAACGTCATCAGTTCCCATCTAGGATTTGAATCTCATTAGTCATTAATGAAATAAAATGTCAATATTTCTTTTATTTGTTAGGTACGTTGTTTAGCGTTCATCTTGCCTTTCATTACTCTCTGATTGTTGTGATGCAATGCAGCTTTACTTCAATTTGCACTTTATGAAACACAAATGCTGAGCTGTTACATGAAGTTATGAAGCCTTGTCAAAGCGTTGCTTATAGTTGTAGCTACTACGCACTCTGCAATGCACTTCTCCCAGATACATTTTATTCTTATATTTTTGTGACTAGTGAATGGAGTGGATGTCAATACTTTGTGGTTGTAAAGTTATATTTTATGCTTTCGTTGGGTAATGTAAATCCTAACTGAAATCTGAAATGTGTCGTGTTTTTTTTTCAAAAATTATTCCTTCAAGTAAAATAAAACCCATCTACATCTACAACACGAGTGTTCATTTTTTACACTTTACTGGTTGTTTTATGTGTAAACAGGTACAATTTATATTTTAATTTAATATGTAAGTTACTTACCTGAGTATTTATGGTGGTACAGTTGGTAGAGCTGCCGCCACTCAGCGATGTCGCCTGAGTGAATCCCGGCCGAATGGTCATTCTGGGTGGAGTTTGCATGTTCTGTCCACGCAGGTGTGGGTTTTCTCTGGATACTGCAGGTTCCACATTCCAAAAACATGCATGTTAGGCTAAATGGTAACTCTAAATTGTCCCTAGGTGTGAATGAGAGTGAATGGTTGTCTCGTTTGTCTCTGTGTCCCTGCGATGGACTTGCGACCTGTCCAAGATGTCCCCCACCTCTCGCACAGTGACTGCTGGATATGGGCACCAGTGACACGCATGACCCAAAAAGGAAGAAGCAGGTAAAGATAATGGATGGATAGATAAATACCTACAATTGTACGCAGAATCAGCCATAACATTATGACCAGTGAATGGTAACGTGAATGATACGATGGATCCATTAGAGAGGACATGGAGGTAGTTGGAGTGAGGACAGAGGATGAGACGGAGGATGACGACTTGCTGTGGTGACCCCCTGAAAATTGAACCTCTATTTGAAATCCCAGTAGTAATGTGTTGCAACCATTTTTCCATTCAGTTGATTTCCTATTTCTCTAATTATCAGAAATATATTTTGCTTTATTTTAGGACCCCCAAACCTTCCAAGAGCAGAAAACTGCACAGAATGAATCAGTTTGATCTAGAATAGTTGCGTATGAACGTATGATTAGAAACGTAGTCTAACAATAAAGACAAAGAGTGTGGCTTATACTGAGTCAAAACTGTCTAAAGTGGTCGTAGAGATTTTTTAAGTGAAATCTAAACAATAGAACTTAGTCTATAAAAATGTATTGTGTATAATCCTTTATTCTTACATTTTCATTATCTGTGGATCAAGTTTTTATACGGTTTTGATGTTGAAGTACGTGAGTAAGTTTGCTGCAGCTAAGATACAAACCCTTAACGTTGCTAATGAAAAACGTAATCCCGTTAGCATCAATAGCAAATGTTTTCCTATACTTTAGTATTTCATGTCCTAAATTTTAACTTCCAGTCTTCTTCACAAGCCTACTGACTAAAGATGCTTCTGTATGACAATGAAAATAATGTTAACCGGCAAAAAATGTGTCATTCTAATATCAGATTCCTCTTTGATGAATTATGTTACATTTAGTTCAAATGTTTCATCTGTATCCTCAAATGGTGTCCTTATTGAGTTTGTTGATTCCTATAAATATTTGAGTATCTTGGTCGACTCGCATCTCTCTTTTAAGCTCCACGTGAAAAACCTAGTAAAGAAACTGAAAGTTAAACTGGGTTTCTTTTTCAGAAACAGATCCTGTCTAACCCTGAACGCTAGAAAACACTTTGTATCTGTAACTTTCCTTCCCTCCATCGATTACGGTGACATTATTTACATGAACGCTCCTGCAAGCACCCTGCGGATGTTGAACACTGTCTATCACGGTGCACTAAGATTCATAACTGGCTGTGATTATCGTACCCACCACTGCACCCAGTATTCACTGGATAACTGGTCATCATTAACTTCACACAGACTCTCCCACTGGTACATTTTCATCTTTAAATCACTTCTTGGTCTGCTGCCTTCATACACCTCCTCCTACATGTCTCTGCGTGAGTGCAGCTACAGCGTGCGCTCTCCGGACATTATTACCTGCAGTGTTCCCTCAATGAGGACTGAACTTGGCAAAAGGGCCTTCTCCTACTCCGCTCCTGTTTCCTGGAATATCTTGCAAAAAGACCTGAAGCTCTCGACCTTGACCTCTCTAAGTGGCTTTAAGAATCTGTCTCTTTTATGATTGTCCATTGTTGTCATCATTCTTTGTTGAAATCAGGTCTCTCTTGTAAATGAGTCCTCTGGGCTCAATGGGATTAACCTGTCTAAATAAAGGTTGAATGAATGTGCAATAACAAATTTGTGTTTCTCACAGCCAAAGCAAAAAGGCAACAATAAAACAAAACAAAACCAGCACAGTGTTCAGATGACCTATCCTGCATGATTTGGATGTTTCGCTGCAGCACACCTGAACTGAATGATTGCTTGATTAACAGGCTTCTGCAGGACATGGAGATATAATTAATCACTGAATCAGACGCTGGAGCAGGGCAACTTGTAAAACATGCAGACTAGTGGACTTTGAGGACCAGAATTGTACAGTACCTGTAACAGACTCTACTAAAAACCCATGAAGTGCAGCCAGTTAATATAAAACTTGACATAGCCTGCATTAGCTCATATTAGCATAGAACAGACCGATAGTCATAATGAAAAATAAACTAAACTAAACAGCAAGGTTGCATCTAGAACTATAAAGTTCAACTAAAAATGAGACAATAATTAATTTTCTCAGAAAGTCTTGACAAAACTGATTCCTGACCTGTCTATTTCGGGTCACTGACCCGACGTTTAACCGAACCAAAGTGAAAGAGGCTTTTTTGATTTTCTTTATTTAGAACTCACTTCAAATACAAAAATAAATAAAAAATACACACTAAATAACACTGAACATATCAAAAGAGGAGGAAAAAAGGAAGCAAACAATAATAAAATAAGAATACATATATATATATATATATATATATATATATATATATATATATATATATATATATATATACAAAGATAAATAAATGCGAGTTACAAAGTTAAGTTGTATTCATTACAGATATTTTTTGTTCTTATAGCCTTTTTGTTATTTGAGTCTGAGATTGTAGTTTTACATCCATTACAAAGAGATCAAAAAACAAGGCTTTCTTTCTGAGTGACAAGCCTTGAGTGACGTCACTCTGGTTGCACGAGCGATCCAAACCGGGTGCGTGGCAGTGCGCGCGCGTCGAACTGGGTCAGCAGAGAGGAGGAAGAAGAAAAAAACATCTGGCCTCGAAAAAGGAGGGGACTTGATCATGTCGGACCGAGTAGAACCGCTGGGTTGTGTCTCCTGCTGCTGTTCACTCCGGGACCTTCTCAGTTTGAGATAACTGGGTGAGATTTTTGTTTATTTTTGTCCACAAATATAACTTTTTTTATTTTTATTTATTATTTTTTTGGAGTGGGTTTTTCCGCACTTGTCAGTCAAGTCTTCACAATGGATCAGTCCATCGCAATTGAAGAAACTTTGCGAAGAGAAGAAAACTGCGTTATAGTATCCTTTGTGCCTGTTGTGGTTTTGGATTTAAAGTGAAGTCTTCAAACTGAATCAAAACAAGACACTTTCTGCTGAAGCGCGAGGCCTCGAGGAGACTGCGTTTGGACCCACAGACTGCATGTCCCCTCAAAGGAACCCCGTGAATGTGTGGACGTATTTCTGTTCAGAAATCGCATTTGCAGTTTGCTCGTGTTTTAGAAGACAAACGGGTTAAGTCAGCAGCAATTACTTCCCATAAATAGCCTATTCATTGTTCTGCAGTAACGCATATTATCCACAAGGGGGCAGTGTTGGTTCACCAGCTGCTGATTTGTCACCAGTGGAGGAGGAGGAGACCTGCGGTTTAAGAATACTACATCATCAAAATGCATCAAAAATAATTTAGTCAATATAAATTAGCGTGTTTGACCAGAAAAGAAAATGGAAGAAAATATTATCTACATGGCTAATTTGTGTCTGTGCTATTAAATATTATGCTTAATTTAGAATGAGTCCAAATGTTTATGGGCCAAATTTTAAACTGAAGCCTTGCGCAATCTGTTAGTGCTCAGAATTTAGTTGAGCATCAGTCTCAGCTACTACCACACGAAACTTTAGCTCACTATCTGTTAAGTTAGCAGACTTAAAGCCATTTTTGTATTGCTAATATTGATTTGCTGTTGCGGCCATCTTCAATTGGAGTGACTCCAAAAGATAAACAGTTAGTTGTACACCCAGTGATTACTCTCTAAAAGTTTCATTAAAATCTGTCAAGTAGTTCATGAGATATTTTGCTAACAGACAAACTGTGTTGACTCCAACAGATAATGTTAAAGTTTGGAGCAAAGATCTTGCACAATGAACACAATCAATCAGTATTAGTTGTAAAGGAGTCTCGCCTATAACTACACATTGTTTTAGCACAAAATTAGTAAAACTGACTGAATTATAGTTATTTTGTGGTTTTCTAAATACAGTTGGCTGTGGCAGCCATCTTAAATTGCAAAGGCTCCAGAAGTGAAATGATTATACAAACACATCCAATAATTATTTCTTCAAAATGTCATTAAAATTTATCCAAAGGGTTATGAGATATTTTGCTAACAGGCTGACAGAGTTGACTTTACTTACTAGCTAATTTTAAACAACAGTCTCACGCAATCTATTAGTGCTCAGAATGTGTTGAACATTGGTCTCAACTACCACAGCTGCTTTCAGAATAATATCTGTCAAAGTGGCTGTGTTATAACCCCTTTTGTGTTTTTAGTGGATCAGTTTGCCACTTTATAGTCAAATAATTATATTAAAAATAAATTAATAGTTTCTTTAACCGATCTGTGAACATGCGGTCCAGTGTGACGTCTTCTATGCTGACCTCTCAGAGAGCAGACTGCTGGGATTGGTGGAGTCTGGAAATGAGCATGCGTAAGTTTCAACATCTTCTGCAAAGTACTATATAATTTACTAATCTATACATATTTTATTTCCTTATTTTTAACAGATATTTCCTATACACTATTGAGTTATAGTGGAGTTGCCTTAAAAAGTGCTAAAAGCATACCATTTTTTGTCTAAACCTGATCAACTTGTATTTTATGCATGTTTTTTTTTTTATATATTCTTATGGTTTTATATAATATATATTTAAATAAGTCATGTAATCCTATTGTGTCACTTGCAGAATCTTTATATACACCCATCGACGAATGGCCATCACAGCCGATGATGTATCCCTGGAGAACATCATACCCATCTCGCTTGACTTTGCCATCGTCGAAGGTAAAGAGAATTAATATATTTTCTGCATCATCTCACATATTTTTTTTTTTAAATAAATGTCCTGGTAGCTTTATTATTGCTGTTGTTAATATTATTATTGTTTGGACTGAAAATCAAGACGTTGCAGTAATTTCTTTGAGGTATCCTCACATGCTTCTTCTGCTGCACTCATTTTTAGTTTCCTCACCAGAACAGCTTGTGGTTGTGGGTGAGTTACCTCCATTTTTTATTTGATTTATTTATTTTTTTTAATGAAAGCTCTGTTGTGATGTCTTGCAAGTGCACCACTTGAAAATGAACGCTGTATCTGATCGAAGGAGCTGATACCAGGGTGAGAATGAGCTACAAGGACGAAGAGGTAGAGATCAGACTTCCGTTTGGGTCCCACTCTCGCCATTTCCTCGGTGAAGTCAACAAGGCGTGGAGTGGTAGGTTGAGCTGATGTGTGTGCATGCAGTCCTTAAACACGCACACTTTATGAGGAAGCAGAAGTTTGAATATTTAGTTAATTCAAGCACCATAACAAACATGAACATTAATTTATTCTGTTGTATCAGCTCGAGTTATTTTACTAAATTTAGTGAAACTGATCTAATCATTTTCTTCCACTATCTATACAGAGAGTAATGGTTCAGTTTAAACAAGACACTTCCTGTGTGCTACCTAATTGTTTATGCTTTTCCTTTTGGGCTTTTGAAAGGATGAAAAACTCTTTAACTATTATGGATGTGTCACATTCCCCAGACAGTTACTACTTCTGGAGTAGAAGCATCACAAGAACACCTGATGAAGACCAGTTCATTCCACAATGAGCTACTAAAGCGTTTGACCAGACATCAGAAATAATAATAAAGAAATTGCATTTCCTGTGAAAATGCAGTGTGAATGCGTATTGCTGAAGAACTTGCTGAGAAGCAGCTGAAATTAGCTAAACAAAAACATGCTGAAAGGTAGGTGAAATGAAAGAACAAGCCTAAATTAGCAAAAGAAAGCTGAAAGAACACATATTTGCTGAAGTGGGTTTCAATAAGCAGGAAAACTAAAACAATTAGGAAATTACCTGTAAAATCTAAAATTAGCAAAAGTAGGTGAAAAGGCAGAAAGTAGCTTAAACTACCAGAAGTAAGTGGAAAGTGCTCAAATGAGCTCCAAAAATGTAGAATTAGTTTAGAAACCTCAAATTAGAATAAAACAGCTAAATAGTAGCTGAAACTGCAACAAAAAAAAAAAAAGCTGAAACTAGCAGATAAAAGCTGAAAGGAGCATAACAAGTTGAATTAGCAGAAATAAGTTAATTAGGCTGAAAGTAGCAGAGATTATCCCCAAAACAGAATTTATATGAAAACAGCTGAAATTAGCAACAAAAAAAATGCACTAAAAAGTATTTAAAAAGATTGAACAAGCTTACATTAGCAGAAGAAAGCAGAAACGTTTGCTGAAAAAAGAAAAAAAGGGAAATTATCTGAAAAAAGCTGAAATTAGCACAAAAAAACTGCTGAAAAGTAGCTAAAAAAGCAGAAACAGACTGAAATTACAAGAAGGGAATGGAGAAAGCACTTTTTTGCTGAATTGGGCTGAAAATTTGAAACAAAAAACATGGAATTAGTTGAAAGTGCATAAATTAGCATAAAAACAGCTATAGCTGAAATAGCAAAAAAGCTGATACTTGCAGAAATAAGATGAAAGGCACATAAGTTGAAATTAGCATAAAAAAGTTGGATAAAGCACAAAAATGTTGTAGTTGGCAGAAAGAATATGAAAGGAGCACAAAACAGCTGGAGAAAAAAACAGCTGAAATTAGCTGAAAAAAGTTTAAATTTGCACAAGGAAGCTGAAAAAAGCTGAAGCAGAACAAAATGTGAAAGCAGCAGTAAAAGTTTGTAAACAGATCTAAAGATGTAAAGGATGTAAAATGAACTCAATTCATTTTTTTGTGATAAAAAAATTGACAGAAAAGGCTCAATATTTCAAAAAGCTAAAGTTGCACCAATACCAAAAGTCATAGCAGTATTGTACTGAAGCTGAACGTTTTGATATATGATTTGGTGAAATAGCTCGAAAACTGCGGGACGAGAATTGAGCCGAAAAATGTACGGAAGAAAAACTGATCACAATAGTGGGAATACTTCCTAAAAATTCACACAATACTAATCTTCTTTTGGTCTCACTGTCTTTTTCCAGATGTTTGCAGGTCTCCCATGCAAGTCCCCAAGTTTGAGTGGATCGACAAGTACAAGAAAACCAGCAGAAGCCAGGAAGCCATGAAACAATCCCTTGCACCCCTGGGCAGACCCCATAAAAACAACCAGCACCACAAAACAGGTTTGTCATCTTTTCCTTCTGGTAAACGCTCGCAGCCGGTGTTTCCATGATACCTGTAAAAAAAAATCACTGATCTGCCACAGGGCTTCCAGCATCACTGCAGCAAGAGACATGGCTGCTTTTGACATTCGAAAGCTGCAGGATTTTAAAGTGGGCCACTTCCTTTGAACGCTACTGACTCACCCTGTGCATGAGTTTGAGCAGCAGCGATTTTGACATGCCGCTGCCGAAACATCATTTTCTCTAGTTCAGACCTGTGTCAGCAATCACATAACTAAATTTAATATCAAACTCAAACCATTTAGACGCAAAAAAACAAGAAACATTGATGTTAGTGCACACTATACACACATTTCTTCTGTGGCTTATTTATTTTTATTTTTTGCAGATATAGATCGTTAATATGTTTTTGCATGCTGAACCATGCTGTTTGACTTTTATGCAAAACACACCCACATGAACACACACCCCTACACAAATCACATGTTGTAAAAGCCTGTGCAGGGTGACGTTAAAGTCTGCATGAAGCATTGCTACTTGTGTATTCCTCTAAGCATTCTTTCTGTTAAAGTGCACAAGCGTAAATTCCTCACATGAGAGTAATGTGGCAGAGCTCCCTCAGCGTCCTGTCTCTGCTGCAACAGGAAGCTGCGCTGAACTCCTCCTCCTCCTCATTAGCATGGGCAGGTCTGACTGAGGCTCCGACTGTACGTTGATCTTCTGCTCGCACAATGAGTGGCGGCAGAGGGAGGACATGTCCGGAGTGATGATGAGAGAGTCTGGTATGAATAAACGAACCTTACAGCGCCCTTTGTTGATCCTGTGGAGGCGAGAGAAGCGCTGTCAGACAGCAGATTCTTAGCTAGCTTTACATGCTAAAGCTAAAAGACGCTAAATTTAGCCAAGTGTTAGCTTGTGGGGTTTTCGGAACTCGTCATCCAGGTGGAACTGTTTATTTAATATCTTTATATACTATTCATATATGTATATATAACTGTACCGTTTAAAATGAATCTTAACGCGAATGTTTTGTAGGTGGTTAATATGTAGCTAATGCTAACGCTATTTGAATGATGTCGCCAGTGGCACACCTGTTGATGCGCGGCGTGTTTTAATCTTTGGGACTTTTATTTTTAAATGTTTGCCGTGTTTACTTTCTTTTCCCCGTGTCTACTTTCCTCTTTTAAGCTCTTCTTATTTGCTAAGCCTCTTGGCTGAAATCAGATGTCTGTAAACTTTCAGTGAACGCTCCTCACTGTTTGTTTACTTCTCTTTCATTCAAAAAAATCCAGCGCATCGAGAGGAATGACTTCTTTTTTTTTATTTGGGGGGGAAAGGAGGCATTTTAAATTCAGTTAAATAAATTAACACGATGCAAGTAACCTTGAGGTGAACTACTGGTACACATACAGCCATGGAGGTTGTGTAAGACTGAACTTTGTGCGGTAGTAGTAGAAAAAAACCAGTAGCTTCATGTTTTAATACGGAAGAGTCCGAGCTGATAAAATGGAGTGGCTGTTTTGTGCTGACTAACAGATCGAACCGCAGATAAAGACTCATGCATGGGTGTGTGAAACTACAGGTTAGACTTCATGCAGCTTTCCTGTGGCTGACTGAAAGTTTTGTTGCTGGTCATCATTGTGTGTTCCCCACACACTGATGAAATCAGTTCTCTGCATTTAACCCACCACACATGAGATGCACTCAGGTGGAGCAGCTACGTAGGCACCCAGGGATTACCAGTAGGCGTCTTGCTCATAGGCACCACGAAATGCGAGTGCCACTTCATGTTTTGCATGCATCTCTGCTCCATCACACCTGATTGGCATCAAAAGGCATTAGCAGGCTTCTGCTGAACATGAAGCGGTAGTTCAACCATTGAATCGTGTGTTGGTGCAGGGAAACGAGTAGAGCATGCAGTACTAAAACGTATGTAGGACTGTGAAGTAATCCGTAAACTGCAACCTTCACAGGAACTTCATCTAGGTAATAATTACACATTTTCAGCATAGTGTTTTGGCTCCAACTGGTTTCAGGTGACAGTTGATTGGAGATGGCTGTTATTAAGAATGTGCATGTAATTACGCTTTGTACGTGTAAACAACTTGTTTTTTATAATATTGTTAGACATGGCTTTCTGTAACTTTTGGTACTTAGAAAGTAGGATGTTTATTGTCTGCCATTTAAGGGAGAAAGCAGGCGATAAAGATTTTGTCTGTGTCTGTCTGGACTGACAAACAGATTTTAATGAACTTGCAGAAACTAGTCATTAGATGTACATCTACCACGGATTCAAGATGGCCACCCCAACCGGCTGACCTTGAAAAACGCACAAAAAAAAACTTATAATTCAGCTATTTTTATGTATATTGTGTTAAAATATGTGTACCTTCCAAAAATGCTAGTCTTTTAAATGAACATTTGAAACCGCTCCTGAAATGTTAACATTTTCTCAGCTTTATCCCGACAACGTAGTGAGTCGTATTCGTGTTTGCCTTGTTGCGTATCTCCGAAAACTCAAGATGGCTCTTCAAAAGTAATTTCAGCTTGTTCCAAGTTTTTTGTTTTTTTGTCCAACAAATGCTGTTCTTGTGCACACATTGACAAAATCACTGGATGTTCATAGAAATATCAGTGGGTCTTGATGGGAATTTAAAAAAAAAAAAGTGTTTTAAATTGCTTAACATAATATTTTTTTTATTTACGGTAAACCTTTTATCACTCTTAGCCAAGATTAGCACACGCTGTACGTCACAACGTGTTTTCTTAATTCAGGTAGGTTTTTTTTTTGTCAACACTGTTTTCATGAATGAATGTTAGAAACTGCTTTACCAACGTCTGACTCATGGATGCTCTGAAAATGGGTTGCATACTAATTCTGTCAAAACTGATGAGCTGAAGTGATGACATTTTAGTAAAACCAGCGTAATGTCTTGCAGAAATGCTGTTCTTATTTTGCCTCGACTGTGTTTCTTGTCTAAAGACAAAGAGTACCAGATTTCAAATAAAGCTTTTATTGCTTATTAAAATCCTGTTTTAATTATTATATCATGTCTTTTAGTTCATGATGACGTGTCATCTAAATGGTATGGAGCCCTCATGTAGAGTGCAGTGCCTTCTTTAGAAGTTAAAATTTCTCCTCAAAATTCTCGGGTTTCACTTTCGGTGGAGTCGGCTGTCTGTGCTACCAAGCTGCTGGAGACAGGCCCCGTGCTGTCTCATACTTCACACTAAGCCTTTAAATTCACCTACTTAGAATGCAGTAAGTGTGAAAGGCCTCCAAGTCAGTGAGAGGAAGGCAGTAACTGAGACCTGAGTGGAGATTATTAAGTTCAAGTTGTTGATCTTTTGTAATAAATCATAACTGGTGCCAGTTTATCCTGAATTTTAGTTATTTACCAGCTGAAATATTGTTTTCCTAATGATCATTTTGTGTGTTAGTAGTTGTTAAAGTCAATCTGTTTAAAATATGCTACAATCTTAAAGTTTAACTCCGTATCTTTTTTTTTTTTTTTTTCCCCAAACAGAGAAATCATCTGACAAAAAGGAATCTTTAGAGAAGCTGAAAGCGTTTAATAGTGCCACACAAAAGTCCAAAGTATATTCCAGCCCAGAGAGGTAAGAGCTTTCCATATTTATCTTAAAGCGAAACTATGCTTTTTTTTTTTTTTTAACGTCACAGCGTGGTGGTTCAAGCTTAAGAATAATTTGCTCCTGAAGTAAAAGCTGCTTTTAATGGCAGACATGCACAATTTAAAGTATAAATCACCAGCTATTTTGGCTTCGTGTGACTATAAAATCAATATTTTCAAGTAAAGGCAACCTTTTCTTTTTTTGTTTGTTTTGTATCGACTAAACAGACTTTGCTTTAGAGGTGCAGGTGTGCATCCTCCCAGACAATAAAAGAGCCTAAACTCAAAAGCAAAACCTCATTCTCTTCAGTCACAATTGAAGGTTTGGTTTGAACTGAACAAATACTGAGTCGAAGTAGAGGCCGTGGCTGTAATAGTTTTGCCTGCAGCAAATTCAGCTTGTTTGAAACTTTTCTTGACACCCTTTTCAAAGTGGTGTGTGCGTTAAATTTAGCTTTAAATGTTTTTTACACTTTTCATCTGCATACTTTTGGAATAATTAAATGTAACGGTGCTATAACTTAACGGTACATGCAAATGTTTGTTACTATTTCCATTTTCTGCTCTGGGACAAAACAAGTCAAACGCTGATGTTTAGTTTTAGATTAACCTGGAAGTTTCTTGGAATGGATTCCTGAACTTGAAATGGTATTTGATTGCCATCTATATTTGAAACATCACAGAATCCAGGCATATTACATTTCGTTGTCTCCTTACTGCTTCTATTAATGATATTGCTGCATAGCAATCGTCAGTATAGTGACTTATTGTACAAAAGGCTGTTTGACTAGAAAACATTTGTAATGTCTCCAAATTTGTACCATGAAGTTTCTAGCTTTTAGAAGTATTTCCTGATGGAGTCAGCCAAGAGGAAAGACATTCAAGTGCATATTTTTGATCACTGTAATGCATATCTGATATAAAATTCCACAAATGTGACGATATTTTTGTGCTGCCGTGTGTTCTGTCATGACCACCTGCTTTCCCCCCGTCTTACGGTACACAGTTCGGCCATCTGTAGTCGAGAGGACCGGGATGATCTGGTGCGCTCCTCCTCCCACACAACTTCCAACAAAGCTCAGATTCTGACCATGCCACAGTTCGGTTTACGGGACAACCTCATCAAGTGTGAGCTCCTAAAAAACGAGGAGTTTTATACCTATCTGGAGGACTTTAGGTAAGAGAATGCTCTTCTAAGCCAGTTTGGATCTGATAATTTTGTCTGTAAGATCTTTTTAGAATGCTTGGGCTATAAATTTGCTAGTTTCCTGGTGAATTTAGTTTTGGAAAAATCTCTTTTTTTTTTTTATTATTGTTTCGCTTTTTTGTCCAACATTTTTTACTATGTTTGAGATTTATTTCATTGATCACTTTAAAACTTAAAAAAAAAAAAAAAGTTTATTCTTGACCATGTTTTAGAATTGACTCATTTTAAGTCCTTTTTTTTTTTTTTAGATTTTGGTTTTCACTTGTAGACATGAATCTAAATTAAGGAGACAAATCCAGATATTTAAACTCAACCAGTGGTGTTTGGTTGGACACAGTTAACAGTTAAATCCAGAAAAAATGGTTTCTGATATTTCAGGGAGAATCAGTGGGTGCAGTGTAAGTCGTGAGTGCACTTTCAACCTCGAGTGTTCAGAAAAAGCATGAGTCAACATTTGTGGGCTGATATTTGTGCGCACCAAATTGAGCAATGCTGTCTTAAGATGCTCCTGCACAGTGTGTTGCCATTTTGTGGCTCATGTTGTAGCTAGCTCAATATTTTTGTGAAGCAAAGTCATTTTAATGTCTTATTAGACTTTTTGAGTCGTTAGATGATTACACCTTATATTGTTTTGAATACTGCCACCTGCTTTACTTGACTTGGAACCTTTCTGAATCTTTTTAAATCTTCTTGTTGTCTAGGCACGTTAGAAGAACTTTGATCTCTTAGGGTCACAAATTAAAAGACGTTTTAATAAATGAAAGTGACAAGAACGTATTGCGCAATAGTATTTTTTTTAAAGGAGGCTTCATTTATGAGTGAACTGGACAGACTGCCGTAACAGGCCATAGCTGCTTGTATGTGTTGAATTGCATAAAATAGATTTTTATTTTTTGCTGATTTTAATCAAATCAAATATCTGTTTGTTGTATTAAATATTCAGCTGTGCACTTTTTATACACAGGACATCAAAGATAATCTGTCCGTGTTATCCACAGGGTTTTAATGAAACATAATGCCAGTTAAATACATATACAGAAGACTGGGGTGTAATTTTCCTAAAGTGAGAATCACAAAATAAGATAATTGGCCGAGCTGGATCAGTTTGAGTGCTGATATTTCTCTTGATCTGTTGCAGCTTTTTTCTTGGTACGTACAATGTGAATGGACAGGCACCAAAGGAAAGTCTCGGTCCTTGGCTGAGCTGCACTCCCAACCCTCCTGACATATACTGCGTTGGGTAAGTCAGCTGAAGAAGAAAAGCGCTGTAATTCCCAGTTTAATCCCATTACAAAGACAGACGTTTACTGCTCAAACCTCTGACAGATGCCTGCAGCTATTGAAACTTTTTTTAAGTAAAGAAAATGCCCACCCACACTTTCTAGGCATAAAAGCTCACTGATCCTGCCTACCTTTCAGTTTACTGTTTTTGGTGTGAGGGAGTGAAAAAGTTTTAGTATATATATGCAGTTTTGGAAGTTGGAATTAAATTCTGTTTCATTTTATTTATGTCTGTCTGTCTTTGTAGTTTTCAGGAGCTTGACCTCAGTAAAGAAGCCTTTTTCTTCACTGACACCCCCAAAGAGCCAGAGTGGACAAAGGCGGTGTCCGAGGCTTTGCATCCAGATGCTAAATATGCCTTGGTATGGAAATGTCTTCTTCCCCTCCCTTTTTATTTATTTTTTTAAATCTTGCTTTCACAGAATTGTCTCATATCCTCTCAGAGGGTTTTTTTTGTTGTTGCATGAGAGCTAATGGCATTTTGAATTTTTGGCTTATTTATAATTTTCTCGTTAGTTTGAAGTCAGACTTCTTATAACATAACATTTTGTACATTGTACATTATAACGTAACATTTTGTTCTTTCTCTTTTCATTTCATTCAGTTTCATGTACTTCCCTTTTCTCAGAGTGCTAACTCTGCTTTCTTTAACTTCCTTACTTTTTCTTTCTTACCGTTTTATTTGTGTTAAGAATTCACAGAATATGCGTCACTGCTTATTTCTCATTGGGCTGATTGCCACCAGTACCTAATCATAAAAAATATATTTTTTCTTGTTAATTTTGAAGTGTTGATTTATTAGATTGATTATGAGGTTGACCACAATTATTCAACACAAATGTTAAACACACAATTCTGCTTTTCTTTTTAAATAAGGCATGGTTTAATGTTTTTATCTGGAAATGTTTTAATTTTGTTGCCACATAGTACTGATACAAGCAGCACAGGCTCCACTGTGACAACATGACGGTTAAAGAAATATTGGGTGGAAATTTCTGAGCATTCTTTAATGTAAATGTCTTAATTTATACCCTGGAATCTCATCATTTGCTTCAGGTGAAGTTGGTGCGTCTGGTCGGCATCATGCTTATCTTCTATGTGAAGAAGGAGCATGCAGAGTTCATCTCTGATGTGGAGGCTGAGACTGTGGGCACCGGCATCATGGGAAGGATGGTGAGGACTGCTCCTGCTGAGCCGTTTCTTTTATGTATGGGCAGTCGTAAAGGTTTCTGGTCTTTTATTACAAGATTTTATTACAAAAGGTGCTGGGTATGTGAGTGCAGCTGTGATTAGAGCTTCGAGGAGGCCAGTGGTTGCCTTGATTGACCTCTGGATCAAAACAAAACAACAATTTTTTTCCTGGTTTTTGCTTTTTTTTTGTTTTTTTCCTAAGCTTTATGCATCTTTGTCAGAAATATGTCATAAAATCCATTTTTATGAAATGTTTTAAAACATCTGTTAGTTTTGGCTGTTTTAAGTACTGCTGCCTCTGTCATTGCTTCCACTTAAAATGTTTTCCACTTTCCTCCATAGTTAAAAAACATTTACTGTGGAGCTCAGACAGGAAGGATACAGCTTGTATCATCAGTATCTGTACATGTTACTGCAGTGTTGTAAGACGGGCTATTTTTGGTTTGCATCTGACTATGCTTGCTTAACTGTCCCTGCAGCATAGAGCAGCTGGCTGATGACAAATGGCAAGATTTTGCTTTTTATTTTGGCAGAAGACTTTACAAAGAGTCAAATAATTTATTAAAATATGCACATTTAAATTAACTCTAGCGTACTGCTTTACTGTCATGCAATTCTACCCTTTATTTTTTTCCTGCAGTTTTAGATTAACTGGATTTTTTTTCCCATCTGTTTTAGGGCAACAAGGGTGCTGTTGCAATTCGCTTTCGGTTCCACAACTCTAATATCTGCATGGTCAATTCTCACCTTGCTGCCCACGTTGAAGAATATGAGAGGCGGAACCAGGACTACAAGGATATTTGCAGTCGACTCCTGTTTCGTCAACTCGATCTTAGCCTGCCTCCACTCACTATCATGAAGCACAAGTATGTACCACTTAACCTTTTATTGTAGTTGCACTTAGAGCTGGGTGATATAGCTTGTAAGCTGTTCCTTCTGTGGCCTTTTTTTTTTTTTTTTTTTTGTGACCTTTTAACAAAAAAGCTCAATGGCGGAACTAACTTTCCATTTGGAGGTTTAGCATTTTCGCTAACTTTGAAAACTTAGCAGAATTTGCTTCTACTAAATTTAAATCTGGTAAATTCAAGTCCGCTTATTATTTTTAAGACGGTTCCGCACTAAAATTGTACAGGAGAATGAATGGTGTTCTACATGGGACTGGACGGAGCAATGCTATGCTATCTTATGCTAAGCTAAGCGCCACTTGGTGACATTGCCATGCTCGCAGTGCTTTTCCCCTAATACCGATCGCAGTCTGTCACAAACTCGTGGTGTCAGTTTACAGCCAATAACAGACTTTAACATAAATGCCAAACCAGAACAGGAAAATATGTAAAACCCATTTTCACACTCAGAAATATCATAAACGGTTAGAAACATTGCATACATAATTCCTACCCAGCATGCTTTGCAACACTCACCGTCTGTGGGACATGACTCTCACACTAGATTTCACACATTTTTACTTTAATACAAACCATAACATAAAACATCAAGTATATTTGAGTCATGGCCCACCTCAGTTAAACCAGATTCATAACGTTTTGAAAGTGTATGGATAGATGATGGATTTTGCTGCATTAATTGGAAAATGTAAGCGTAACCCAGGACTAACAATTTGTCATAAAATGAATGAATCTTTAACCCAAAAGAGCTACTGGCTGCTGCAATGTTCAAATTAATATTTAGAGTTAAAGTTCTATATGTGAGGCTGCAAAAACTTGCATATTATTCATTTGAGACATTATTTAATTTCTCTTTGCTTTCTTGATCAGTGTTGTTTTATGGGTTGGGGACCTCAACTACAGAATTAGTGACCTTGACGTTGAAAGTGTGAAAGAACTAATCAGCAAGAAGGACTTTGAGTCGCTGCACAATTATGATCAGGTGGGGTTGATTTTTATTTTGCTTGAGTAGTTCTTATTCTGTGTATATGACTGGTGATATTTATCATCTGCATGTGATCCTCAGCTCAAGAGGCAGATCACTGAGGAGGCTGTGTTTGAAGGCTTTGTGGAAGGAGCGATTAATTTCCAGCCCACCTACAAATACGATACTGGCTCTGATAACTGGGATACTAGGTAATCACCGCAAATAAAAACCTGTCCTATTTATATTAAAAAGGTTTATCTTCAGTGGTGTGTGTTCATAGTCAGAATTTGAGATAATTACTGAAAAACAAATGTTTTATATTTGCAATACAGAAATTACAGACATTATGTTCTCTGAAATCATTTATTCAATCTTATTTATTAGTTTTCTTTTTGTTTTATTTTTTGTAAAGTCAATATTATTTTTAATTTATTGAAGGCACACAAAATCACTGAGTATTCAAAGAAAAATACAACCATAAGATGACATATGTTTCAGTTTAAGTTTGAACACGGCAGTAAAACAAAAGAAAAAACAAGAACAAGTTACATTGATTTTTTTTTTTAATCATATTTATTTTGTCTTTAAACATGTGTATCTGTGTTTTTTAGAGCTTGTAAATTTAATGTTTTTATTTTAACTTGTGTCTAAAGTACTTGATGGTGATTATTTGTTATAATATTAGTATTGCTAATTTAATAAACTTTGTTGGGGGTAAAAGTACAGCCAGAGACGAGGATAGAAAATTAACTGTTGGCTAGAAATCTTGTATACAGCACATCTGTAATTTCTTACTTTAACCTTGTCCTTAACAAATAAATACAAAATAAAAAGTTTTCTTTGCTTTCATATGTAAAACATGCAAGAAAAGTTTATATTGCACTACTTATTTTATTCAGAAAATACAATAATCTTTGCTCTGGTGTCATTAAGGGCATTGGTTTTGCCTCTGTGTTGCGTTGTTAATAAACATTAACATTTAATATGCTTTATATGGCCTTCAGGTGGTGGTGTTTTTTTGTTGTTTGCATATGTTTACATACGTCAACTTAAAGATGTAAATTCATGAATATCTTCTTTTATTTATTCCTCCACATTTAGTGAGAAATGTCGTGTCCCCGCGTGGTGTGACCGCATCCTGTGGAGAGGAAAGAACATAAAGCAGCAACATTACAAGAGTCATATGATTCTGAAGACCAGTGACCACAAACCTGTCAGTTCCTTGCTCATCATCGGGGTAAATCCTTCAGTTTCCTTTCTTATTTCAAGTTTAATTCATTACTATTAGATTTCATGTAGGAATTTTTTTTTTCCTCAAATTTTCCATAAAAAAAAAAAGGTTTGTGAATGCATTAGGATTTTTACTGATCTTTGTTTTTATTTATTTAGAACAGCATTCAACGTTAGTGCAATATTTTTAAGGTTCCCAAGACACCTTGAAAAATATGAAATAATTAACCTCTCATGCCTTTTTATTTTGTTGCTACAGATCAAGAGAATAAACTATGAAGCTTATAAGAAAACCTTTGAGGAGATTGTACGCAATATAGACAAAATGGAGAACGAATGCATTCCATCTGTAACTTTGTCCAAGCGAGAGGTAAAAAAGTTTCATGTCCTGTATTAAAGTGTAACAGGAAATGTAATCTTGTTGATCTACCACCTATGTTAAATACTTTCCCAATGTACTTTGTCCAAACCACCACTACTGATGCCATGTATTCATTCTGAGCTTTAAGCCTAATTAAAATATTTAAATGCAAACTTTTTGATCTTCTCTATTAATTTGTGTTCTTTTAGTTCCACTTCAAGGACGTGAAGTACATGCAGCACCAGGCAGAGACGCTGAACCTCGTCAATGATGGGCAGGTCCCATGCCAGTTTGAGTTTATCCAGAAGCCAAATGAGTCCACATACTCCAAGCCCTGGCTCACTGCCAACCCTGCCAAAGGCTTCATTGCTCAGGGTGAGAGATCTGAGCAGTTAAGTTGATCTTGGAGCCAAATATTTCATTTTAATGAAACATGAGTGGCCTACTTTTAGTCCTTCTTTAGTTATGGCTTTGATTAGATTTAAGAGCAAAACTTTCATTACAATAACTAACAACATATTTATGTGATGCTTTACATCAGATAACGGAGTCAGACAGCTAACCACCCTGTACGTTTGTAAATGTGTTTTTTTTTATATATCCAGGTGGCTCTGTGGACATTGATCTTGAGGTTTTTGTAAACCGCTCAACAGCCCCTGATCTTAACTGTGGCAAGGAGAAGATTGAAGACATCCTGGTTCTCCATCTAGAGCGGGGCAAAGACTATTTTATCTCTGTAACTGGGAACTATCTGTCAAGCTGTTATGGTTCCTCTATTTATGCATTGTGCCAAATGAAGGACCCTATTCAAGACTTGCCACAAGAGACCCTCCTTGAACTGGTTAGTGATGATGTACCTCTTCTTTTACTGCTGTCTCAAACTTTGCCAAAGTTTATTTGAGTGTGCTGGAGAACTCGTTTGAATTCAGTCTTGTTTTGTCTTGTGTTTGTCCTCAACGTCATGCCAAGAAGTCTTTAAATGAGAATGGAGAAACCACTGAAAAGCCTCTTGACATCCCTAAGGAGCTTTGGATGATGGTCGATCATTTGTTCCGCAATGCAGTAAAACAGGTGATGATTTGAAAGTGATATCTCGTCGATGGTTTTTAACTAAATCGCTGAACTCTTTTTGGGGTTCATAGCACAATTCTTGGCCGCCTTACAGGGTTTGTTTGAAATCTATTTAATATTGCAAAATATTTGAAGGTACCATACTTCAGTGGAGAGCTACAGGATTTTTACAGCCAAGTCTAATTTTTGTCAAGTCCTGGATCTCAATAAAGACAGACATAAGGAACTGGTCAAGTGTTTGGTAAAAAATTGCGGTAACAAACAACAGTATAATAGCTGCCATTTCTATCCTATAAGGTTTCTGTTGGCATCAAATTAAATCTTGCATTTGCCTTTTTTGTGACACTTGCACATGTACTCAAGTTACAAATGCACAACTTGTTCTCTGAACAAAAAGACAATTCATACAGTACAATGCACTGCAAATCACCAAGTGGTCATAGCCAGTGTACTGACGTATGTGTATATGCAGAGATAGTACAGTGTGTCACAGTCTTCCAGTGACAGTGTGTGAGATGTTGTAAAGTTTGAATATTAACCATCCATCCATTATTTTCCGGAGTCGCATCACAGGGACCACAGCTTAAGAAGAGAGTGACAGACATCTTTTTCCCCAGCCTCTTCTAGTTCTTCTGGGAGGATCCAAAGGCATTCCCAGCGCAGCTGAGAGATGCAGTCTCTCCAGTGTGTCCTGGGTCTTCCCCTGAGTCTCTTCCAGTCAGACATGCCCAGAGCACCTCCCTAGGGAGGCACCAAGGGGACATCCTTGTTAGATGCCTGAACCACCTCAACTGGCTCCTTTTGATGTGGAGGAGCAGCGGTTCTACTCCGAGTCACTCTCAGATAACTGAACTTCTCACCCTATCTCTAAGGGAGAGTCCAGCTACCCTGCAGAGGAGACTCATTTCAACCGCCTGTATCTGTGATCTCATTCTTTCGGTCACTATCCAGAGCTCGGACCGTAGGTGAGAGTAGGAACATGCACTGTAGGCCGACTGGTAAACAGAGCTTTGCCTTACAGCTCAGCTCCCTCTTCACCGCAACGGACCGGCACAGAGCCCTCCATACAACAGATGCTGCACCGATCTGTTTGTCAATCTCACGCTTCATTCTTCCCTCACTTATGAACAAAACCCCAAACTTTAACTCCTCCACCTGAGGCAGAACCTCACTCCCAACCCAAATATTAACCATTTCTAGGGGTGCACCAATTGCAGTTTTCTGGCTGATCACTGATCTCTAAAAGGCCTGACTTGCCGACTCCCATTTTGGCCGATACCAGTTTTGTTTTATAAGCGACACTGTCAGTTGTTATAAGGTCACAATGAACCTTCAATTTTCCAATCTCATTTTATTGAAAAACATACCCTTGAACAAAAACAAACTTGTTTTAACTGGCCATGAGGTACTGCTCTGAAATATAAATAAAGTTTAGACAATTGTTGACAAAACTACAAGAAAATTGGTAAAATCGTTTTTTCATACAAGTATCGGCCGTTCTCCCAAAGTTAAGGAAATCAGGACAGATGAATCATCCGGCCGCACCCTTAACCATTTCCACAATTTAGAGATGCACAAACTGTCGGATGATTTTTTTTAATTCTTTTGCACAGATGATTTGTATCAAAAGTGTACTGCCTTTTCAAAAATATGATCATTTAGCTCATCAATGACATAAATTAGCATTTTAAAACTAATATTTGTATCTTTGATTACATTTTTTTTGTTTATTTGGTGTTGGTTTATATCCTAATGGATAAATGTTCCACATAAATAAATAAATAAATGTATTTCCTTCAACCAAAAAATAATGTAAAGTTTTAAAGTTTTCTCTTAAGGCTACACGTAGTTTTTGCTTTACCCATTGTCACTTTGTAGAGATCTTGTATTGATTTAGATTAGGTATATCTTTTTAAAACCTTTTTTTTTATTATTTAGACAGCTTGAACTGTAATTGTTTTAGAACTTTTGTTTTTAAGTTCTTTATGGTAGTTTAAGTGTAATACAGTGTTATGTCTGTGCTTAAAGAAACTAGAAGGCAAAATTTATTTTCTATTTACAGGAAGATTTATTTCAGCAACCCGGGCTTCGGAGTGAGTTTGCTGAAATAAGGGATTGCCTTGATTCAGGGATGCCAGATTCCCTCCGTATCCTTCAATACTATGTCCAGTATATATTTTTAAAAAGTAAAAATAAATTATATATATATACTGTATCAAAAACATGTGCTTTTTAAAAATGAATAAAAACTAGAATGTAGAATTGTATTCTTGTTTGGCACCTTTCACATTTCAGAATGAGCAGTCTTGTATTTCTGCCTTGACTTTGTGTTGACCTGCAGCGGGCAGTAACCACTCGGTGGCAGAAGCCCTGCTTCTTTTCTTAGATGCCCTCCCAGAACCTGTGGTTCCTTTCTCTTTTTACCAGCAGTGCCTCGAATGCTGCTCCAGTGCAAGTCAGTGTGAGAAAGTAAGGAAATCAGTTTGCTAGGATTGAACTGTTCACTAATCTGTTCCAAGATGTTGACGTATAAAACATTGTCTGATGTTAAAATATTTTGTCTGTAGGTTATTTCCATGCTACCTCAGTGCCATAAAAATGTGTTCAACTATTTAGCTGCCTTTCTTCGTGAGTTGTTGAAGAATTCAGCTAGCAATCGATTAGACGTCAGCATTTTGGGTAAGACAACCAAAAAAGCTGTTCTATTTGGTGGGATGTATTGTGCTTGAGTCAGAATGTTGAGCATGTGAAGTGAAACTAACAAACCAAATGAAAGTAAAAATAAATCTGTTTAATACTACGGGTAGATATGCAAAAACAATTTATTGGATGCAGCTAAAGTTGAAAAATAAATGCCAACTTCGTTAAAACTTGCTGGGAAATGAGGAAGTTATGCAATTTTAGTGGACTTAAACAGAGGCATTTTTTTTTCTTCCAAATAGCCCATTTGATTATCCTGTTTGAGGGGGCTTCAAAAACCCTTTAATAAAGTTTGTCTGCAGTGTGACTTTTGATTGCTGGAATCTGAGAAAAGATTAGAGAAGATAGTTGAACTTTATAAAACAGGAAAAGGATAAAAAGATATTCCAGCAATTATGAATGCCAATATGCAGTGTTCAGACCCTAAAGAAGTGGAAAATGAGGGATTCTGTCAGGTAGACAAACAAAAATGTCAATAACTACCAGGAAAGTAGTTCGAGATTCAACGAAAAACCACTTCAGCTGACATACAAGATTCTGAAAAAAGTGGTGTGGATATTTCTCAATGCACCATGAGGAGGCAGCTGCATGGTCGAGTCTCTGGAACAAAGCCATTACTGCTCCATTTCCACAAAGTAGCTCACTTACAATATTCCAGAAAGCACAGACAAGCCTCGAAACTTCAGAAACAAAGTTATTTGGAGTAATGAGACTAAAATTGAACATTTTGTGCACAACCATAAATGTTGCATTCGGGGGTGGGAGATTGATTTTTACATTAGAAAATTTTGCTAAACAATGTCATTTGTATGTACTGTTTATAATTTGTTTTGTTGTTTGTTTTCAGCCACCATTTTTGCCTCCTTGCTTCTGAGATCGCCTACAAAGCAGGATCTTGCAGAAAAGAGGAAGACTCAGGAGTTCTTTCAGCATTTCCTGACCCAAGGCTTCTCCTAGATGGACTTTTTATTTATTTGTTTTGTTCAAGCTAAACACTAACAGTTGTAAAGCCCAGTATTTGACAAGATTTATTATTTGTAAATCTATGAAGCGTAATTGTGTAAGATTTGACGTTTCAAAACATTTGTGATCTAATCATGCACATATTGTATATTATTGAACACCTGTAGCTGAAATGTTTAACTATGTATATTTTATTTAAAGAATTAAGTTGTATTTTTAATGTTTTTGATCTCACTGATTTTATATAAAAATGCAGTTGAAAACAAGATGACTTCTTTTATTTAGAAATAAATGACACTATAAACCGTATTTTTTCCACGTTTAACGCTTTGAAATTAATCTTGCGTTTAGTTATGATTTTATTTTCCCATAATCCATCACGAATGACTGATCTGTGACGTTGCGTGGTAACCCAATGTAGGGGAGGATATAGGAGGAAAGTGCTTACAATCCTGAGCTTAATAGGGTTTCCATATAACAAAGGTAAAATTATTTTTTGTCATTAACTTCAATTTTGGCTTGAGTGCTCTATCTTATTATTTAATAGCAATAAACTTGTTATTCCTGCCGCACGGTGGACATGTCAACTGTCGACAGTTAGCGTTGGTGGCTAGCACATTAGCTTAGCCACAAGCTAAATTGTAGCGAAGCTCTGTAAATATGTGATAGTTGACTTCGGTTTTATAATGCTAACAGTCTAACGTCAAGCAGCTTTTAACAATCGATTTAAAGGCAAAACAGGTGGTTTGTTCGCATTCACGCTTTTAAATTACAAAATACGGCAAGGGTTGTACAACAATTTAGAAACGATGTGAATATTCTGAAAAATCAAATGTATATGCTTTAGCTCTTAGCCTGCTAACAATGTTAACCTCAATACAGTACTCAAATGCTCAGTACTGTGCCATTAAGCTGAAGTTACGTTGTTTAAACGTTAACTATCCAGCATACTGTGTGTGTGTGTTCTGGAAGTGAGGCAAATTTTAACATTTTAGGCGTGTCAAAAATGTAAAAGTTGCTGATATTGTCTTGAGTTTTTCACCGGCAGTACGAAGACTAAGGAGCAAATCGTATCGAAGTTGTTTATGTCTTCCGAAACGTTGCTACTGTCATTATTGGCTTCAGAAAGTTCCAGATGTGTTAGTTTCTCTATCTCATCAGAGCTAATTCGTCCCTCAGATGTGAAAGATCATTCTCCATTAGTGATTAAATGAAGGTACGCTTCTAGAATGTGGCATTCAATGCATGGCCAACCATCTTTACAAGGATTTCAGGATTTTATCAAGTCAGCAGTTGGTGCCTGTCAAAACAGAATGTGGTTGACTGCAGTGCTTCTTAGGCAGTTAGGTGTGAAAATGATTTGGATGTTCAAGCTGAGATTTTTGTTAGTTTTGGTTTTTTTTCCTCCCTGATCATCAGATGTGCTAATGATAAACAAATACATTTTGTACTAAATATTCTCAGTTTAAAAACTGCACCTGCAATCTTACACAACACATGAAGTCTGTCTTCTGTTTGTGTGTGAGTGTGGCTGTACCTCTTATTACATATCAATTTTGGTTAGTACTAACAGCCTTTTGTTGTTTTATTTAAAGCAAACTGCTTTTCCAAAAACTTAATTCCTTTACTAATCATAAGTAAAGTTGATTTTTGCACTTTTATTTTTTCAGATTGTAAATTTAACATTGTGAGCGTGCTGTCCTTTCAAAGGAAAGGAAGGGAAGGGACCATGAGTGAGAATGGCCCTCCAACGGAGGCGCCCATGTACTTTGAGGTGGAGGTGGATCGTCTGGAGCGAGATGATGATGAAGATGACAAGATCCACTTTGATAAAGATGAAGATCTGAATACTGAACCTTCGTCCTCATCTGGCCGCGTGTATGACCGCACCACAGTACTGATTGAGCGTGACCCTATTCGACTGGATGAGGAGGGTGAAGAGGAGGGTCACTGTGGTGGGGATGAAGATGGAGTCACCTTTCTAACGGAAGGGGAGGGTGATGAGGAGGAGGGTCCTCTGGCCTTTATGACGGACCCTGATGGGATGTCACAGGGCTATGTGCACCACACAATTTCTCCAGATCAGATCCAGTTCACAATAAATCCTGGCTCCACCCCAATGCCACGCAACATAGAGGGAGCTACACTCACCTTGCACTCAGAGTGCCCAGAAACTAAGCAGAGAGAGGTAAGCTTATATTAGTGCATTTTGTATAATGTAAAGTACAGCTGCTACCTGCTGATGTAAGCCAACAAGCATATTACATATGTTGGCTTGCCACGGTCTCCATTGATGGTTGTAAGACTAATATCTGCTTATGGTTGGTTATTGCTATTGCTAAAGTAAATGCTTTCTTTTGTCTGTAAAAGTGGTTTCAGTCCTTAGAGCTAATTGCTCAACAAGGGAGCAGATGCTCTAAAGATTTTTCTGACAAGTCTAATTTTCTTACAAACCGTGAGATCTATGTTGTAGCAGTGTTTCATACACAATTACATTGCACAGTAGGGGTTGTGTTTCTAAAGAATTAAGAGCTTTATTGTCTTGTATGGAATTTTTAATTAAATTGTTCTAAAAGAAAACAAAAACTAACAAAATAAAACCGTAAATGGCTTATTTTTTTCTGTAGAGCTCCCTTGAGTTTAGGTACAAACTTCCCAGGACATGGCTCATAGACATAACATTTTTTAACAAAATGAATTAACTACAACGCGCATATAGAATTTGAAAGACAGTAACTCAAGTTAAAGCAGGTGCACTCCAGTCATTAAAGAATCTGGTCCAGATGACATGATTTAACCTTTTTTTGTTGTTATCTACCTGGATGATTCAGCTTACAAACTTTTTATTCAAAATTAATAGCTGCTTTAGACTTCCAGCTGCAATCTGCATCACTTTAAAGTCTTGATGTGAAGGAAAAAATATACTATTTTCTATATTTTAACCAGCCAAGTTTAGAATATGCAATTTCATCCATCACATTTATTCATTTATTTTAATCTGGAGATTAAGTTTAGCTAAAAATAGAACAACTCCTGACATCTGTGGCCTGCTTTTATTTATTTATTTATTAGTATTCCAGAAGAAGAAAAGCAACAAAAAAAATCTATATTCTTTAATGCCTAACTGTCCCTACATGAGTTTACACCAAGAAAAATGGCAGAAACGAATAAAACAAGACTCCATGCTGCTTCCTGAAGCAAAAAACTACAGGTGCACAATGCAAAAAGTAATAAAACGGTTACACTGAGAAGTTTGAGTGTAGGGTACCTGTGAAGAACTTTTTTGAATAAGATTTTTTAACAAGTATAAAAATGAAAAAATATAATCCAAAATGCAAAGCACTGTTGATGTAAATACACCGGTATAATTTAATAATACGTAACAGGATAATTGTTTTCACTTTGATGCATCGAGTTTCGAGATGCAATGCTTTGTTTTATTGATCAAACTGGTGACTTAGAAGACTTGCTATGTTGCTATGTTTTGTGACATGAGAACTAGTCCAAGCTGTGTGCTTTAGAGCTTCCACAATGGCTTTGCATGGATATTTGCTTAACAAATACCTCTCCCACATGCTAAAAATGAAAAGGCTTTAGACTGCGCATCACTCAGATTAGTGTTTGTCAGTCAGACTGAAAGCTTGGACAGCTGTGATGCTGTATATGTGGAAGGACTATGTCGGAAAGCATCGAGAACGCATGCTGCTTCAGCGTTTTAGGATTTTCACTGATCCATTAAATATTTAGTAATGCCTTTTGTTTTGCTTCAGTGTTGCCATGTTTTAGCTCTTCAGACAGGATTAAGAACAATGTTAGTGAGGTACAGTAATGTCCACTCCGTCTATTGTCAAGACCATCAACAGGCTTCCTCCTCATGGCTTTGTGTTCACTGCATGATAGTGTTTTTCTAAGAAGTGAAAAGGCTGCTTTTATTCACCTTGCCCTGGGGTGTGTGTGTGTGTGAGAGGCGAGCAGGGAGACTGCCACACTGCAGTGGACATTGGTGCTGTGAAACAGAACTGAATAGGATGTATTTCTTGGGAGGTTAGTCATCCTTGCTGTTGTTTATGCTCAACAACTTTGAATACTGACGTGGTTGAGTCAGACCAAGTCCCATCTGAAAGGTCAACCTGACGCATTTTGTCACCAAATATCAGGGCAGATTATCTCTGAGCTCAATCAACAAACGCTTTTTGGTTTTATGCCATCTTTGTTTTGTTTTTTTCTCTTTAGGTAAAGCGCTATCAGTGCACATTCGAAGGCTGCACAAGGACCTATAGCACAGCAGGAAATCTACGTACACACCAGAAGACACATCGGGGCGAGTACACATTTGTGTGCAATCAGCAAGGTTGTGGAAAGGCCTTTCTCACTTCTTACAGTCTCAAAATCCACGTCCGTGTTCACACCAAGGAGAAGCCGTTTGAGTGTGACGTACAAGGCTGTGAAAAAGCCTTTAACACACTATACAGGTGAGCCATCACATATATTTATTAAGTTTTGTTTGGTTTCTCTTCATACTGTTGGTGGCACAGCTTTATATAAACTGCTGAGTGCAAATGTAGCCATGGTTTTCTTACGTCAAACTTGAAGTTATGCAGCTTCAAAACTTTAAAGGCCAAAAATTAGTTGCACATTGGTAGATTACTGGAGTGGGTGATAATATAAAATCAGTACTTTGGTCTGTGTTCCAAAAATGTGAGTGGCACATGACGTCATATACCACTCTTCTAGATTTCTACTTCAGAGACATGTTCCTTTTATGTGAACATATTTGTATTACAAAACAAATAAATTCAATTTAAATGTATTTTTAGATTGTGCATACATGTTATGACATGTTTTTCCAGGCTTTAATGTTTATAAGTTTGTCTAATGTACATCGTGATGTCTGAGGACCAACATTTCATCCACAAATAGATAGAAAAATGCACAAAATCTATACATGTTTATTTTCACAGAATTTATACTGAACTGAATATTAAATTTAGGTAAACGAGGTAATGTAGAAACCATCTATATATTGGTAATTATTGTACTGGAGTTTGATAAGTTTTATACTTAAACTACTCTGGTGGTTCATTAATTTGTTGTGCAGATGGCATGTGGCGCTGCCGAGTCTACTCTGTGACTTCTTGTAAATAATTTCTGTGATGCATTTCCAGTTTTTGTCTGTTGATCGGTTGTTTTTCACCGTTGTCCTCTGAAGCCTACTGTCCACTACTGAAACTGTCCCCCAACTGCAGAATCCTCTGAATCTGTTTTGTAGGTGAAAAGACTTGTGATAGTCTGGGGTGTACATAGTAAGTAGAAATACAGAGTACACACTGATGCTGACCTTCCTCTAGACACACAATCCTTCTGCCTCAGAAACTGGTTTGTCTGTCTGATAGGCAATAATCAAGTGGGAGTGGAGGTATCTGCCTTTTTTTACATTCCACTTGGCAGTGCAGTCTGGACTGTATAATTAGCTCAGAAGAAATCAAAGAACATGTTGCCCGCTTTGCCCCCTTCATAGTGGGCTTTCAGACAAAGGTAGATGATGGTCTCATTAACTCAGACCTGAGGGCAAAAAGCAGACTGCAGTGGATCTTTAAAATTCTTCCTTAGTGTGGGCTAATAATCTCTGTAGGACTTCCATGACGCAAAATGTCAGAGCAAATATTTTGGAGTTTTTTTTTTAAGACTGAATAGATGAGAGTTCAAATTAAAGATGTGTTGAATTGTGCAAGATTTTTGGACCCAAAGACCTTGAATGTCTGGACCTGCAGTCTTGTTCAGTTTTTTCTAGCTGTACAGCTTGAAATACAAAATTTTAACAAGCAGACAAGGTTCTTGCGATTGCTGAAGTTATGAAGTGAAAATGAGGTTGTGTTAAAGTCCATGACTATGCAAGGTGTAAAAGAGAAGCTGCAGGTTCAGGAAGTGTGTTTGTGCATGTGTGTGTGTAGTGGTGTGTGGGTGGGGGGTGGGGGGTGTAGGAAAAGAGATTGCTATGCACCCATCGTTTTATTGGCTCTGTTATAATTTTCAATTATTTATTTTATAACTTGGTCATAAAAATATGTATCCTCATTTGAAACTACTGCTTATACTTCAGGTTTTGTAAAAACATCTAAAAAAATTAGCTTGTAGGTGTAACTTCTCATATACTTTGTCACTGACTTTTAAGACATTTTATCAGAGGTAAATGTAAAGTGAAAATGTTTAACGGTTTCTTGTTGTATTTTTTTCTAGTAAATTAGTCCGTTTTCATAATCATTCAAAAATAATGGGAAGGTTGTGTTTTTTATATCCAAGTGAAATAGCAGAAACAATCTTTTACAAGGAAATGCTAAAATAACAATCAAATCTATCTCAGAGTATTGTATCCTGTATGCTTTTGTCTTTAAGTGCTTGGTTTTTTTGTTTGACTCTTCCTTTGAATGAAAATTGGAAGTGAAATAATGCAAATGTCGGAAGGTAAATGCCACAACTAAGACACAGTTGAACATCGTAATGGAGCTTTGTAACTGAAAAAATGCCTGAGTAATTTACCAAAGACATGTTAGCCATTTAGATTTTGGACCACGTCAGTCTTCTGGCTTGTATCAGTTCCGTTTCTATGACAACATGTCTAAAGCTTGACGGTGCTGTGCCATCAGCATCACTTCTGTGTCAGAGGCTGTTACTCCAGGCAGCCATTTAATGCCACACATGAATGAATTGTCTTTTTAATTATATTACTTTCCTCTTTTTGTCCTTTTGCCATCCAGATACTGTCAGACTGTTCATGCTAGCAGTCTCTGTGGACCTTGCTCTGTTGTTATTCCTGTCTGTTCTATATTTTGAAAGGGCTGTTTTCATTTTCTTTCATTTTCTGTGTTCTTTATATTTTAAAAGACCAGTGAGAATAATAATAAAAAAACCTACAAAACTTATTGTTTGTTTTCCTCTTGAAGTGTGAAAATGGTGGAATGAAACTCATTTTATTGTTTTTGCAGGTTAAAAGCACACCAGAGACTTCACACAGGCAAGACATTCAACTGTGAATCAGAGGGATGCACAAAGTACTTTACCACACTCAGCGACCTGAGGAAGCACATTCGCACGCACACTGGGGAGAAGCCATTTCGGTGAGCATTTCCATTATGACAACAACTTTAATGCACTTCTGCCTAAAGCTGAAGGAACAAGAATACTAATAGATGCTCACGGGCAGTAGAAATAGTCTGTGCAAGTATTAGTCGGTGTATGTAGTCAGTTTGGAGGTGCAGTAATGTATTTTATGTTAACACATTGTTAGCTTAGCTCTTCTTTAGATGAATTATCCAAATCACTGTCTTGACAGTTCATCACTTTCTAGTTTGAAGTTATTCGTAAGCAATTTTACCTCTTTTTTTTTTTACTTTCAGTTGTGATCACGATGGATGTGGGAAAGCCTTTGCAGCTAGTCATCATCTAAAAACACACGTACGAACACACACAGGTATGTCGTTTGGGCCTTTTTTTAATCTAACCTCAGTGTTGGCTCAGTTACTCAGTTGCTTGCTGAAGTTGGGCAGATGTTCTTTACAGAGTGCCAACTACTGAACTGTAACCCTCACACTCACATTTTTCTAATACATTTTTTTATTCAGAAATTAAGTACTGTATAACGTTAACCTATTGATCCCAATAATTTAAGATTAATGGAAAGAAGCTGTGGCCTTTTATTTTTACTGTGTAATTGATAATTCAGTTTATTATGAGATTAAAAACATCTATTGAATATTTTGACTGGCAGAAGCTGAAATAAGTTTTTCCATTTTATTTGTAACAATCAATCTGTTTTAGTGTATAAAATAAGAACGTGTAGTCACACATGTTTGCAGGCTTTAGTTCATATTTTTTTTAAAGAGTAAAATGTTCCATGTGTTTGTGAAAGTAAAGAAAGAAGAGATGAGTAAATATTCTTCTCACATTTGAGTTTTATTCTATTCCCTTTTGTCTCTTTTTTTTGTTTTATTTTAGGGGAGAAACCATTTAATTGTCCGAGTGATGGCTGTGAGAAGACGTTCAGCAGCCAGTACAGTTTGAAGAGTCACATCCGAGGCCACGACAAAGAACAGGCCTTCACCGTCACCCTCACCCATCCGCACTCTGAAGTGAGTCATTGCACAGCAGTGTCTAAGAATGTGGCACATTTGTTCACGTTGTTGTTTTGTCGTCTTCAGTGCAGCGTGACAGTGTGTCCTTCATTACCATTCACAGTTAAAAAGATGTGACTCTAAATAAGCTGTATTCAGGAGCAATGTGGGCTGAATTAATTAAACTGTAGGTTTTTATGGACAAAAACTGATTTATGTTTGGCAAACAAATCAAGCAGAAGGAATGTATTTTAGCTAGTTGTTGCCAGATCCTGATAATTGTTTTAGTTGTGATAAAGAAGTCATTGTTTTGAACGAAAAGTTTGATTCTTAGTTTCTAAATTTTTTGTATTTTTAAAAAATTTATCAGGACGTTAATTCAAATAATTTGAAACGGTTTACTGTCATATCTAATGCTTCTCTCAAGTCAGTTAAAACAATTTAGTTTTATTCTTAAAAGTACGGTGTGTACCAAACTTTCATACCTGGTTCTGGTCGGTAAAAATAAGTCTCATAGGAAGTATTTTTGATTTGAAGCAAATCGTACAGGTTCAAACTACAAAGAAGTCATTATTCAGGCTTTGCTAAGGAGCAGCAGTAAAATGCTTCAGTGGCCAACACATAAATAAAACTCACTAACAAATTCATCTTGATGACCCAAGTTTTACTAATGTTAAAATATTGCCTACTAGGATGTTACAGCCCTTTTGTACAGTACTTATATTTTATCACAAAGAGAGCTTCTGCTCTTTTCTGATGGGTGAAGTTTTGTGAGTAAAACTTAGATTTTGCTTCTGTTGTATGCATCCCATCTTTTCCCACTTTCAGTATGATCTTCTTTCGATGACTCACCCCCGCTCCCCTCAGGAAGGAGGTTAAGGAGCATTAAATGTAGAACCACTAGACTGAGGAACAGCTTCTACCCTGAGGCTGTTAGACTCATGAATCTCTAACTAGAATAATCACTGTGAAAAACCATATCATGTTGCTGCTGATCTGTTTCAATGTTGATGTGTTCATGCGTGCACATCTGCTCACAGACTCATGTTCATGTTTGTGCTGATGTTCAATGTTTTATATTATGAGTGCTTAGTGTATATTTAGTTGATGTTATTCTTAGTTCATATCTTAGATGTTATTACTGTTTTTCTTATACATTTTATTGTTGGATGTAACTGGGACCCCGTGTACATAATTTCGCTCCACCACATGTACCACATGAGGTGCGAATGACAATAAATAAACTCTGACTCTCTGACTCTAATCAGAATGCACTGGTGAGTTTTAATTGTGGCCTATTATCGTCTTATCTGTAGGATGCAAATCATTCGCTGTGCCTCAGTGACTTGAGTCTCATCTCGACAGACTCGGAGCTACGAGAGAACATCATCAATGTAAGTCTGGCTGCTGCTAAACATTTTACCACAAACTGGATTGAAGATGTCGAGCCTTTTTACGTCTGTGTCATAGAAACGGATTTGTGTATTTTTTTGTTAATTTTATGATTGTATTTTCTATACAATACAAATTGAAACAAAAGCAAGAATGTTTTGCTTGTTTTAATACTTTAAGAACGGTATCGTAAATATTTTTTTCTTAAATTTGGTCATATTACAGACTCAAAACCTAGACCTCAACAATGTGACCCCTGTGAAAATCTTTGAACTCATGTTCCAGAGTCCTGAAAATAGCATCAGCCAAGATGATGCCCATCCTAACAGTAAGAAGATCTCTTTTAAAGCCTGTCTGGTTTGGTTGTACTGTTTTGTTCTCCCCTGACGGAGCTTTGACTTTTGTCCTCAGAGAGCCTTTCTGAAACCTTCTGCCTAGAAACCTCCACCCAACCAGGAGTGACTGATGCCTCGCCTACCATCTCATTTTCTGTCAACCCTACCTCCTCATCTTCCCACAATGCCGCTGTCATGGAGGCTTCGTCCCATCACAATGAGAAATCTTCGTCGCACGTTTCCACTCCCGCTCCTGTCACTGTTACTGTCAGCTCCACACAGACGCCCTCTTTCATGCAGCTAAGTGGGCCTCAGCAGATCTCTGATGTGCCTCAGGCTTCTGTCCAAGCACCAAACTGTGTCACCCCCCAGCACTATGTGGCACTATCACCCACATTCCTACAGTCAGAGAGTGCAGCTCAGACCACTCCTCTACCGCCACCCATCTCTGTTCATCCTCCAGTGGCTCCTGCTCTGACAACCACAGCTTCAGGTCCTGCTGCGGCTGCAGCTGTCACAGCTGCAACAACAGATGGTCTAGCAGCTGTGGCACAACCTGTGCCTTTGGCTAACAACCCTGTCACTAACACGGGCCCTGGTCTGGCTACTACCCCTGCCACCATCACCATAGCATCAACACCAAATGTTTTGCAGCCCAGCCTTGTCATGTCTGACCAGAACCTTCAGTGGATCCTTAGCAGTGCTGCAAATAACCAGCAAAACCCAGAGCAAGCGGTGAGCAGTTCAAGTTCAAGTTTCTTTGTCATTCGCATCACATGTATTACATGAGGTGGAACAAAATTGTGTACTCAGGGTTACACCCAAAAATAGCAAAAATATAAAGTATTAAAAAAAAGTATATAAGGATCTAAGATATACACTAAAGTATACGCTAAAAGATAAGATATACGCTGAACACTTAGCATATATATTAAGAGTACTATCCAAGTAGTATCTTTAGAGTTAGGGATGGGGCCAATCCGATATCAGCCTCCGATACCAGCATAATTTACGTCTCGGATTTTTCCGATCCAACCTGCAGAGATTTCCGATCCATGATGCATGTTGGCTTCAAACTATGGAATGGATTTCCTGAACGGAGGTGTGTCTCATGAACCCAGAGTAATAAGACCCACCTCACATTCAGGAAATCCAATTCATAGTTTGCAGCCAGGTACAACGTGAGGACTGAGTGAGCAACACTGTGGCTAACAGCTAACCAACTTTTCATCGAAACATGTCCGCTGTATGGGAGTATTTTACACTAGAAACGCCTCAAAGCAAGACGGCAACGTGCAATGTCTGCAGAGCCATAGCACCACATTAAACAGCGGTAAAGTTAGTTTTACGATGGACATTCGAACTCCGGGGCTTCAGCGTGGCGCGACTCTTGTTCAACCCGAAACAAGCAACTCGACCCCGGCCAGCCACGACCAATCTGCCCATCTCTGAGGAGGGGCAGATTGAGTGCGGCTGACCGAAATCAGACTGCCCAGACTGAACAAGAAAAACATCGCTGAAGCCACGGAGCTCGAATGTTTACCGAGAAGTTGCTAAACTTCATCGTAATTAATGACCAACCACTATCAGTTGTAGAAAACAAAGGATTTCACAGCTTGATACTTGCATTAAAGATATAGTTTACCCTACAGGAGATATTTATCAGTACAACAGTAGACGATCATAAAATTAAAACATATGATTTGAAAATTACAAGAAAATTATGTATATATAAAATTTAAAAAAAACGAAACAAAAACAGCTACATTATAAAGTGATGTAAAATACTAAAAACAGGAACATGTCTGTTGGTTTATGCCATGAACTTAGCAGATGTTTAAAGCCATTTAACATTTTATTTTATTTTATTCATTTATTCATTCATTTAAAAGAAGCCAAAATAAATAACATATTCATCAAAAAGAAAACATTGAATGAAAAGAGTGCAGAAAGAAGAAAAAACTTATATCAGCCCCTTATTTAAAAAAAATAAAATAAAATAACTAAACAAACAATCATTTAATCACTTTAATATCCACTTTAAAGCTAGGAATAAAAAAAAGTGTTTTGTGTTAGCAGAATTTAATTCTAACTTTGAAACTTGTCCAACATTAATAAAACTTACCTCAAGTTGCCTTTTTGGACATGCATGCATAGATTTGTACAAATTGTACTTGAGAGATTATTACAGCCTCATATAAAATCTATAATGATGATGTCCTGATGCATGCCCAATAATCCAGGTAGAAAAATCCAAAAAAGTTCAATCTGGTCCTCTGGACATTCAAAAAAACAAAACAAAACAAAGCAAAAAAATGTAGAAACGTTTCGTCTCTCATCCGAGAGACTTCCTCAGTCTGAGGTGCTGTTTTCAGCTCAGTCTTTTAAATAGCACCTTCTCAGAGTGGATCAACCAGTTTTGCTGCTGACAACCAAAACCAGCTGATCACATGGTCAAGAAGGACCTCTCTGTCCAGGATGTGAACATCTTCATCCCTGAAAGAGTGACCGATGGTTTGAGAGAGGAGTAAAGGAGGCCATCTTTGTGAAAAGAAATCATCCATCATTAAACAGGGGTGGAGGCCTCCGGGTTCAACTGTCCCCCTCTTACAATGCTGTTATTGCTAGTATCACTCTGTGAGTAGTAAACAGCCATCAGTGTGCTAATGACCCATTGTTAGGCTGATGGTCCTTCTTGACCATGTGAGCAGCTGGTTTTGGTTGTCAGCAGCAAACTGGTTGATCCACTCTGAGAAGGTGCTATTTAAGAGACTGAGCTGAATACAGCACCTCAGACTGAGGAAGTCTCTTGGATGAGAGATGAAATGTTTCTACATTTTTTTGCTTTTTGTTTTTTTGAATGTCCAGAGGACCAGATTGAACTTTTTTGGATATAATGATGATGATATCGGAAAGGGATCGGTATCGGCTGATATCCAGATTTAGGGATCGGAAGTAAAAAAAACAAAGTGGATCGGTGCATCCCTACTTGGAGTATATCTTATCGTGCTCACACCCAGAGTTTATGCAAAGAAACAGTGACTTATTTGCCAAGTCTTTATTTAAGTTAATATGTACTTAATGATTTATTTTCTGTTCATCTTAATTTTCATGTGAAATATTTGTGAAATTTTAAGCTTTAATGATTTTATCAGCATATGTTTTAATTTATACGTAGAGTGCAAATAATGTGACTACGATAGTTTTCAATGTACTTTAAAATAATACACACGCCCTAACTACAGTTAATACATCATAAAATTAATCAGACAGGCCTCAGCTGTCCCCAGTTACAAAATGTTTTTATTTATTGAGCATGCATCAGGATGTTTTTAATATTTGTTCACAGACACATCAAGGAGCTCCAAAAGTGGAAAAGGTTTTTTTCACTACAGCCATACCAGTGGGAGGAAATGCTGGTAAGCCTTTGCACCTCTAAAATGTAGTCACTGTGCTTTATCATACTTAAAAATTATACAAGAGCTAAAGAGCAATGACTGAAAATGTTGCAAGTCATTTTAAGAAATGCAGTAGATATTGCCATGACTGTGATTAACCTGAAGCTGAGCCATAATGAAAAATGAAATAGCATTTAGGGCAATTAAAAAGGTGATTAGTTTGTTTTGGGGAAAAAGTTCAAGAGATGTTTTCTAGCAATCTAACATGGATAATGACAGAAAATGTCAATATTCTGCACAAGTGGAATTTGCTCTTTTAGGCGTCAGTCAGAAATTGAGAAGTGTTTTTGAAGCAATAGAAACATGTGGCTGAGTGGTTAGAGCAGTCGTCCTCCAATGCAAGAGTTGGGGATTCAATTCCACCAGCAGTCACATGCCAAAGTGTCCCTTGGCAAGACACTGAACCTCTCATTGCCCCCGATGTGTGTCAAATCAGTGTTTGAATGTGATATAAAGCTCTGATTAGTCTTTAGAATTCAATTAGCTTTGTATAGATCTAGTAGAGTGCTGTATGAATGGTAAGTGAGGCACAGATTGTAGTGTAAAGTGCTTTGAGTGTCTCAATAAGAAAGAAAGGCGCTATATAAGTACAGTCCATTTACCATGTTTGTGTCAAAAGCCTAAGTTCACGTTTCTGTTTCAGGAAACTCGGTCCAACAGATCGGCCTTAGCTTACCAGTCATCATCATCAAGCAGGAAGAATCCTGCCAGTGCCAGTGTGCCTGCAGGGACTCTGCTAAAGACAAGAAAACAAAGAGCGCCTCCTCCATCATTTCACCTCCAACACAGCAGCAGACTTTAGACCCCCCTCCTGCACTCCCGTCTGAACTTCCCCACCATTCAGCTACTTCACCTTCCTCTTGCTGCCTCCCCAAGTCTTCCTCCAAGGTGGGTGAGGTAAGGCCAGAGTCCCACTCTTCTTCTTGCTCCACCGCAGCTCTGCCTTTCTCCACTATAGTGAGCAACACTGCCAGCAACCCACCTCCACCTGATGGGTTAGCCAGTATGGACGTCTCAGACTTCCTCTCCATGCAGAGCCCCGAAACAGCTGCTAACATCGAGGCTCTTCTGCTGGTTGCAGACGACTTCAACATGACCACTGACGGGAGTGCATAAATCTGTTACTTTGAGTCTGGTGCGACGTGTTTATCCGTTCAGTTCACACTGCGCATCACTCAACAAAGTAATGCCTTATTTTCACCCTGTGTAATGTGCATGCACCCTTCTGTTCTTGCAGTGCAATCTGCTTTGTTTCTCATGTTCCTTACATCTATAAATATCTATATATATATATAATATACAAATGGGTACAAACTAAATATTTTTGTTGAGTCTCATTGCTGTAGCTGTGTTTTTTAGAAACCAGACTAGTTGGCTTATTGAGATTTAGCAGCTTTATTGCTGTGAAACAGCAGTAGATTCTATGTGGAAAACATGATCTGTAAATATTAATCCTGTTAACATCCACTCCCAATTACTGAATGAGTGTGTTGTCCAAGCACTGATGTTTAAGGTTTCCTGTCTATAGGGGTTTAGAAAAACAAAACCTTGTCTCTATATCCTTGTACTGTACCACAGGTCCTAAGAAATACTTAAAGCTGGCTTGCAGCTGACTAGGATGCACTGTATGTTGCTACAATTGTCAATCAAGTATTGCTGCCAGCAGGAATTTAAAGTGGTTGGCCACACAACCCCTCATATGGCTGTTATATAGTTTGAAGTATTTTTTTTTTTTGGAAGACTAATAGTCAAAATGTGATTTTTTTTTTTTTTTTACATTTACTAATGGAGAAAAGAACCAGTGATCAAATGTGCTCTTCTCTTTGAGTGGCATTATGTCTAAGTTGCCTCTAATTTAAACTAACTTAAATTTTGTATATGTTAAATTATTTAAATATTTGATTTTAACAATATACAAATACATTTATCTTCCAGTTATCAGAAAATAATTTATTCCAATCTTATATTTTGTATTGTTGTTTTTTTTGTAAAGTTACTGATTTTCTGAACAGTTATTGCTGAAAGTAAGTTGAGAAAAATATATGTACTTTAGACGGCACGTTAAAGTAATCTTCTAGGATCTGTTTGTTTGCTAGAATGGTCCAACAGTAAGCAGCTACTGTCAACATCCCATGATTTTCAGGGTAGTGACCCTCTCAGGAAAGCATCAAATCATAACTGATCCCATTTCCCTTAGTTTGTTGCTCAGACATTTACTTCATTTAACAGAAGGCCCTCACTTGCAGTAGCCCTACATTTTGCTGCACTCTACCCTATTTTTTGCACAGTATCTTGTAAAGAAAGTAATTTGAGACACCACAGACTTTGTATACAACTGCTGTAAAGTAGCATTTAAAAGATGGTGTCTTAAAAACTAAATATACAGCATTTTAGTGTAACATTTTTGAGAAACTTGTAGATTTCAGGATTTGTATTTTTGTATAGGATTTTGACTTTACTAACAGAGTTTGGAGCAAATGTACCCTTCGTCCTTGCATTCTTCTGTCATTTATGTAGAGCAGTTTATCTTTAACCATTTATTGGTATTCTTTAAGCACTTGGGCTTCTGTACAATTTGCACTCTTAACAAGATATGTAACATACAGAGTATAATTTAACAGTATTGGTTCACATGGGACATAATGCAATGACAGAAAAGGCATCATTTCCTGTAGATTAAAGTGTTGAAGCCTCTTGGCCTTACATTAACTGCTCTGTAAGCCTGCTTGCCTTGACCATCTCCTTCTGACATAGACATGTCTTATTTTCGCTGATCTCCAGCAGCAGAACTTGGGAGACGAAAAGGCACTGGGTTTCCACTGGTTTTACATGGTCTGAGATTTCCAGCTGGGACATTGTGAAAAGTCCACCAGTGGCAAATCACATTTTATTTCTAGGTTATTCATTAAAAGTAAATTGAGCTAGTAATACAGGTTTTAGTCTTTTCATCTGCAGTAGTTTTTTTTTTTTTTTTAATTGGAGGAAAATATTTCACCCGTTTGATCAAATGTTCCTGATGATCAGTGGAATGTCAAATCAGTGTTAATTTTACATTAATACAGGACTGCGCTAAAGCTTGGGATTGTAAGATTTTCCATTCAATTTTCTCTAATTAAAGACTTTAAAATTAGATATTTGGGCTCTGAATAAAGTTCAATTTTGGCTTCCACCCCACATGTTCAGATTAGAAGTCTTTCAGCAAATTCAGTTACTGCAAAAGATTTTTTTTATTTTTTGGCTGGCATTTAGTTTTTTGTAAACTCATTAAAAACTGCTTGTAACTAAGTGCCTAAAGATATTTAAAAAAAAGTATATGTGAGAACTTCATTCCTTGCATTTGTGCTTTGATGCTTGAAAGTCAGTATTAGGTCTGTTAAAAACATTCAGTCCGATACATGAATTGGGCTTAAATGAGTTCAAAAGCATTGAAGGACTCCCAGGCAGCCTTAACTGTTGGTCAAGATTGCAAAACGTCTATAAAAATAAATCTTAAAAGGGTGGCTCAAGACTTTTGCAAAGTTCTACAATGTGAGAAGTTTAACCATATTGTGGATAATTTCCTGGATGTAAAGGCCTGTTCAAACCCAAAATGTGACCAAATCGGCTCAAGTCACACACAAAAAAAAAAAAAAAATAAATACATTCATAACTTGGTACAGTCATTGTACACATCTATGCAATTTAAAGTTGCAGTGATAAACCAGTTACTTCAGCTTCGCTCCATAATCTAACTTTATTTACTGAAGCCCAGTGGAAAAGGTTTTTAGCGCCTCCATATGTAGTGTACTGCTTGAACTCTGTTGCGATGAAGAATCCTTCCATGAATGTGCTGCAGAGCGGTGCTTGGAGCATTCAGTTAGTCGTTTGCCCATGAATGTTGTACCACATCAATTCTAAACTGCAAATGTTGCTTCTGTGGCAACTAGTTCAAAACATACTGGATTTGAAGAGGTATGTAAAGAAATGGTTCTGTTTTAAGAATTATCTTGCTCTCAGTGGTACAAAGATTTTCCTCAGATTTTGTTGGCAAGCACATTTGGACTCCATCTTTGTTTTTGCATCCTTTCGTGCGTTTGTGGCTCAGTCAGCTCTCGTCAATTAAATTTATTGCTGCCAATATTTTTTTATTATTAAGAGATGGTCTTTAACTCAACCCACATTTGTCTGAAAATGGTAAATCGCAGATGGAGACTTTTTTGGAAGTAGGTAAATCAAAGTCTGCTTTTCCAAACAACCTTTGGTAAACATAGGAAAGTATGCTTCCAATCAAAATGTCCAACACCCCCCCCCCCCCCCAAAAGAGTGAGGAAATGTTAGGGATTTGTATTTTTTAAAGAATGTATAATGTGAAAATATTTGCTTATGCTTGTTTTGTATAAAGTGATAAATACTATGAATTTAAAGCAATATAATACTAATAAAACCTTGTCACTGAAATGTTCTGTGCGCTCAGTCATGTTTTACACTTAAAGCACTCAGTGGTTGTAAAGTTTATTCAGGTACATTTAAAATAAAAAAGTGACAGTTACTCTTCGGTTAGTTTCTGTAGCACACATCTTGAAGGGATTTGCTCTGTAAAAGCATAAAGAGTGATCAACAAACAAACAAGAATATATAAATTTGCATAAATTAAAGAAAACCATACACTTACCTCTACAACATGTTTGAGAGCCATCAAGTCATTTATGACGCATTCGCACTGATTCAAGTTCTCGGACAGGGTGACAAGTCTGTCGTCCATTTCCTTCAGTGACTGTAAGAATATTATTGGTCTGTTAGGATGAATTACTTTCATGGTCTCATCATGTAGGGACTAACCTGTTGCAACAAATGGACATTCTCTTCGTTCTGCTGGATTTCATCCTCTAATTGACATTAAAAACTCTTAAAATATGACAAACCAGCATTATCCTGTTGTGTAAAGGTGTGCAATGTGTTACCCGTGTCAGAGGTTACACTTGTAGACATGGTCTTCAACAGAAGTGGAGTCCTGATTTAAAAAAAAAAAAAAAAAACTCGCAGGTGATTTATATTTTCCTAATCAATCAACTACGTGATGACGTAAAAGGACTTGTAACGTCGGTCCGCGTTGGCGTTATTTTTAAGAGCTAATCAAGGCATTTGTTTTAAATAAATTGCAAATTAGACTGATTTTTTTATTTTAATGATTTAATGACGCCAGTTAATTATCATTAAATCTGGTTTATTCGAGTGTCGTCAGTGATTTAAAGCCGTTTTTGAATGTAGCTGTCTCTTTAAGGAAGTGACGTAACACTTGGGGGCGTCACCCGGAACTCCTGTTATTACATCAGGCGACAACATGCTCCTTGTCGGTGGAGGGACATATCTGTGACTGTAAGGTGTAATTTATGATTTCATTTGGTTCCACCGCTGCTAAACTGGTTGGGTTCAGAAGAGGTCGCAGTTCACAGGCGGCTCGTCGACTTGAAGCTGAAATGTGCAAAGAACTGAAGACCAAACTGCTCCGTTTGTTGCCGCAGACTTCCAATGGGCCGACGATTCACCAGGACATCCAAACAGGTACATTTGTTTAATACATGTCAGTCAGAGACAAAAGTGCACGAAGTTTCGATCAGTTGAATAAACCTGATAGTGATACTGGCAATAGTTTCCACTTTGAGTTCTGCCATTTTTGAATGGATTTATAATGGTGTAGTTTTATCAAGAACGCAAGCATTTAATATTTTTCATTCAGCCTTTATTTATATTTGTGTGTATTTATATACACAAATTTATATATTTATATTTGTATTTATACTTGTATATTATTAAAGTACTTATACTGTATTATACTTAAGTAACAATCCTAAACCATATGTGTCAAACTCAAGGCTCAGGGGCCAAATGTGGCCCTCATTGACATCTTATCTGGCCCCCAAGATGTTATTTTAAATGTAAAATACTTTTGTCATTTAATTTTTTTTCAAATGAGACCAATCAAACTTGTTGAGAAACCTGCAACAAAGAAACGATGTTGGGTATCTGATTTGAGTTAATGTAGAGACTAAAACCAGCCCTTAGTTTGAAAAAGGTTTTAATTTTGGCCCCCTTTTGTAAGTGGGTTTGACACCCCTGCCCTAAACTAAACTATCGAAACCAGTTTCGATAACTTCAACATTAACAGTTTTAAGTCACATTTTTAGGAACTTTTTTCCGTATGTTCAAATGGCTTGCCTAGTTTCTAATCGGTACAACATTAGTTATTTGGTAATTTCAAAGATGTCATTTACTTTAGCAAATCTATTTTCTTAATAGCTGAGTAATAAACATGTACTTTTACAGAGATGATTGTGGTTAATTCTACCTCAAGTTGTTGCTGATCAGATAAAACACATGTAAACATATTGTTGTGTGTTCCTGCCTTGGATTTTTAAAGCTCTTGTTTTGTAGAGTGTTAAATGCACCTGATGTAATTCTGTGTAGGAAAAGATCAACGTTAAGCTGGGATGCTGCAAAAAACCCTGGTGGCACAGTTCTATATGTTTTTCTTCTTTATTCCCAGATGATGCTGAGATCCTGCATTGTGCTGTGAAGGCTCTGAAGGACGGTCACGTTGTTGCTGTTCCCACCGACACCATCTACGGCCTGGCGTGTCTGGCCCAAAGCTCTGAGGCTGTGAGAAAAATCTACGACGTGAAAGGACGGAACGGACACAAGCCCCTGGCCATTTGTGTTGGAGAAATACAAGATATCTATAAGTGAGTGCACTCCCTGCTTTAATTAATTAAACTGATAAGACTTGAGTTCTGATTCACTGGATTGTGAAGGCAGGCGGATGGAAATTTACAGCTTTAAAAGATTAGTTATACCACTGTGTATTACTTTAGTCATTAAAAGTACAAATTTCTATGTCTGATTTGTTATTTTGTTCAAACATTTTCAGGAAAACAACTTTACCACACATGTAAAAGTGTCATTCTTACTCGAAGACACATCTTACTTGTTTTGTAGTGTGTAGTCCTGCTGCCAAAGCTAACCGTTCTGTAACACTTAAAAGTTTTTAACCATTTTGGCAGGTTAACTAAATAAGTAGAGTTCAAGGTAACTAGTACATCCAAATATTGAATTACTGTTAGGCCTGTCACGATAACAAATTTTGCTGGCCGATTAATTATCTCAGAAATTATTGCGATAAACGATAATATTGTTTGAAATTTGACAATAATTCGTAATTATTGTCAAAATTAAGAAGAAATGTTGGTTAATTTGTTTTGCATGTAATGCCTTTTTTTGACCACCGGATGGCAGTATAAGACTGTTTGAACTGAAGGATGGATAGTGAGGAAGCGAGCAGTGTGTCTCTATAAGAAAAATGGGAGGGAGGCCCCTTGACCTGATATGGGCTGTCTCTCTTCGGTTCTCAAAATGTCCGACGCTCAGTGTGGTTTGAGCTTTTTAGCATAACATTTTTCACACAAAGTTTTTAATTAAAAAAAATCAGTAAACAAGTTCTCAGCTTCTTTCTGCAGAGAAAAACAACTTTTTAGATGAAGGCACGGGTTTCAACCGTGAATTTTGGAGCTTCGACAAGACGGAGGTTTTTTCCCCCCGAGGTAGGTCTGTTAGCTTAGCTCATAGCTTAGCTTCTCAGCTTAGCTGCTTTTAACGATCCAAAACCGTGATTTTGGACGGTTAAAATGGATTTTAAAGAGAAAGGGAGGCGTCAGTGAAGAGCACCGGAGTTGAGCCTCTTGTCATCCAGTGTCTTCAGTAGAAAGAGAGAGACACAAAGAAACGATAAAGATGATAAATGAAAATGAGTTTGATACTTTTCATTAATCATGCGATTAATTGATTTATTGTTTATCGCGACAGGCCTATTAATTACAGTATCCTAAACTTGGCATGAAAAAAAATGTTCCAACAAAATCTTATAGTTTATTAAGAAGATCTGCCATTTGTGCTTTAATTTGTCATAAAGTAGCAAAATGCTCAATAATCAGTGCTATGTTCTTCTCTGGTGCAAATTGCTACAAACAGAAGAATTTTTCTAAACAGATCATGTCTTTCTGCAAATGGTGGCAATAATAAAAGCATCTGCACACAGATTATTTAGATGATAGTTTAAATCATCTCGTGATTTTGTTTCCATTAATAGATACTGCAAGGTGAAGGTGAAGGAGGAGCTGTTGGGTGACCTGCTGCCTGGTCCCGTCACTCTGGTGTTTGAAAGGTCCCACGCTCTGAACACAGATCTCAACCCTTTTACTTCAGTAAGTTTGCATCTTTAATACTTGTATAAATCAAACAACCAGTGGTTTATTAATAAACAGGCTGCTGTTGTTTGCCTGTCCTCAGCTCGTAGGTGTACGTATTCCCAATCACGCCTTCATGAGGCGCCTTTGTCAGATGTGTGGAGAACCGTTAGCGCTCACCAGCGCCAACATCAGCTCACAAACCAGCACAGTACAAGTACATGTAAGTGTCAGAAACTAACAATGTTTCTAAAGTCGGTTGAGTTGACTTATCATGAAAAGGTTTTTTTTTTCTGTTTAAGGAGTTTCAGGAGCTCTGGCCTAAACTGGCTGTGGTGGTAGACGGTGGTCCGATAGGAGACCAGAGCCGCCTCGGGTCAACAGTCATTGACTTGTCGGTCTTCTGCAAATACAGAGTCATCAGACCCGGCTGGTGAGTCTACAGTCGGTGCTGCACGTTCCCGTTGTTCACAAAGTAATGTATAAAATGAAAATATGTTCTGTGCCTTAAGTTCATTCATGTACCGTATTTTCCGCCGTACACGTCGCACCGCCCTATAGGTCGCATCAGTCCAAATTTGTCAAATAAAGTGGAAAAATCCATAAATATGTTGCTTCGCCGTATATGTCACATCTATTATGTGTCACCGCTGACGCGTCACGTTTGTTACAGGTCACCGCTGACAACCTGGAAATGTGAGCCGAACCCAGAAATGTGGGCCGATGTTGTGCCAAAAATTGATGGGCTGTCAAATGGTGGCCGCGGGAGCGTGCACGGGAAGACTTTAACAAGATTATCATTTAAAACAATTATTTGTCTTCTTGAAATTATAGTAAAGGTGTGTCTCAGTCTAACTTTGCTTAATAAATGCACTTTGACGGTCAAATCAGCTGCATTTTCAAAACTCGATTAGCAGAAGCGGGCACGCACATAGGAACGAGCGTCTGTACATTTCTTTGAAATTTAACAAGATAAACACCTAAATACATTTATTTGTTTGCTCAAGATTATAGTAAAGCTGTGTCTCAGTCTAACTTTTGCTTAATAAATGCACTTTGACAGTCAAATCAGCTGTATTTCAAAAGCCGATATGCGGAAACATGAATGCGCAGAGGGGGACTTGCTGTCCTTTCATTCGAAATTGAACAAGATAACCACCTAAAACAATTATTTGTTAGCTTGATTTTACAGTAAAGTGTGTCTCAGTTGAACTTTTACTTAATAAATGCACTTTGATGGTCAAATCAGCTGCATTTCTCTGGGGCGATGCAGCGAAATGCAGCTGATTCAGTTGCTCGAGGCAGACGACGGTGCAGAGTATGGCAAGCCGATTATGTCATTAAATTCAAAGCAGTCTACTCCTCAGATAAATAGTGTCAACTTATAATTTGTATGTATGGATGTTTCTGTTCAGTGTCCTGAGATGACTTCTGTTGTGACTTGTCGCTATATAAATAAACTGCATTGAATTAAATTTAATATCTACCTTTACCTATTACATGATGCAACGGCATGCCTTTCTTCTCTGCTGCCATCTAGTGGCTGAAAATGGTAGTATTAAATTTATTCAGTCATAATGAATGAAAACGGTCATATCTCAGCCAAAAATTGGTTTATAAGTATGGGAAAAATCCATAAATATGTCGCTTTGGCCTTGATTGATAAAGTTTGATTGATTAAGTCGCAGGGCATGCAAATTATGCAAAAAATCTTGACCTATACAGCGAAAAATACAGTACTTTCTTCTTCTTTTGTTTTTTCTGTTGAAAACTAAGATGTTGGTTCTGAGCCAGGAAGGCATTTGGGAAGCACATCTTGTTCAAAAGCTATGTGTCTATGTTGTGAGCGTGAAGAAACCAATCTGGATGCTTCCAGAATTTACCAGTTTCTTGTCCCACATGACACATCTCCACCTGTTTTTCTATGATATTTCCTAGAATTATGTTTTTGACAGTTTATTGTCCATCTGCCAGAAAACCAGTGGCTTAAGATAGATTTCTGACAGGCAGGGAAACAAAATGCTCTCACTTTTGTTCTCATACTGGAAAAAAATAAGTGCAAACTGTCTTGTATAGTTTCCATTTTGTTTGCCATTAAAATCATATTGACAGATGTGATCAGTTGTTACCAGAAAGCATCTGATCAGATCAACACATAACTTAAATTTGTTGGTTGGGTTGTAGAATGAGCTTTCTTTACATTAGAAAAAGAGAGAGAGTTTGTATTATTCTCTGTCTCTTGCACAGCCTCTGTCAGAACAACTTAAGCACCAGATCAGCAGTGAGCGTGTGCTAACGGCTTATTTACAGCTGCTGCTTCTGACTCCTCTTTGCCGCTCACTGAGCAGAAGAGAAACAAATGTGTTTCTGCAGTAGATGACGTCACAGTACAGCCAGCAGCTCGGATGAGAAGTTGCTAGCTTCCTTTATGTTGTGTTTTAGTCACTTTTGTGTCGTTTGGTTAGCCTTTATAAGAACAACACTGCTTCCACTCCTGTATGTCAAAGGGATGAATATATTTGAGGAGTTTTCAAAAGAAAAATCAGATATTAGAACCTTTTACTTTGAAATAAATACATTTTTACATACTATATCTGGGTTCCATTCTAAATAAAATTTTGACTATTCTGAAAAAGCCCAACTCCAGTTTACCAAAGATGTATCATGAACGGCTGCTGCCATTAAATAACCATACAGTCACATTCTGTTTATTTTTGTCCCTCGTCATCCTCGCTCTGCCTCCACCCATGCCTGCTTTGAAGTGGACTTGTTTTAATGCACAAGAAATAACCCTAATTCTGTTTTCAGTGCCCTTTCCTCTACGCTTGATGTGTTGGAAAGAAAATACGGGCTGTCAGAGGACTCAGGGGAAGAATGACCTTTAAACTCTACGCACTCTGAAACGCACGCCGAGACGCACAACCAGCTCTGACCCAGGGCATACGTGGCAAAACAAGAATCAGTGAGTCTGACTTTCCTGGGAAAAGCCGAAACTCAGGAAGAAATCAGATCTTACGTCACTGATGGCAGCTGTCTTCAGGCCTGGAGGTACATTTTCCCCTGGGAGATTTTCATTTATTACAGTTGATCTATAATTAAATGAAGTGAAGGAAGTCTCAGCTTCCTGTTTATTCAAATAAACAAGATCTGCTGGATCTTTAAAACGAGGACTGTTCATGGAAAAAGGGGGTTTCAGACTAGATTTTCACTTTGAATAATAAGTGCACCATTAGAGATGACACTATTGCAAAAATGCTTTGGTTTTATGTACCGATTAAAAGTTCTTTAAATTGTTTTATTGATTTTTTATTTTTTTATTTTATTTATGGTAATGCCAATATTTATTTTATAGCCGACTCAAACACTGTAGCCATTTACAATAACATAAGATGCCTCTTCAGCTATATGAGTTCAATGTTATAGTATTTAAAAGTATAATTATATGGGCATTTCATCTGTCTGTTGCATGTTACGTCTCTCCCCTTCAAAGTGCCTGACACAGGCTTGTTTAAAGGATTGTAAATTGTCTGTATATTCAAAATAAAAAGTTTTAGTTATTATTGTCTTCATCCTGCATAAAGGAACTGTGTGGGGCATCTTTGTCTCGGCTCATTCGGAGATGTCTGGAATTTTCTCATGAATGATTCTTAAGGGAGTGAAATCAAGAGACCAGTGGAAATGAAAATCAACCAGTGATGTGTGACGGAGCACATTTCAAAGTATTCACAAACACCTGTTGTACTCTTCCTGTTGAAAACGAGGATAAAGATGAATCTTTAGTTGCGTCTGTGATCACAGGAGTTCCTGGCTACTTCGCAGTTCGCTATTCGCGGACTAGCTCTTTCAAGCTTTTTCAAAATAAGGTTGGACATGGCACACAACTGGCTGATTGATGGATGAGCCGCACGATCGGCATGGGCTTTTTATTCAAAATACATTATTTTAAATTATTTAGCCCCTGCTGCACCAGTGTGCAGCCCACAGCTGCAGGAAAAGCTTCATCCTGCAGCGTGTCAGCTCTCTGCAGGGGAGAAGTGGGCGTGGCCAAGAGCGGCTGGCAGAGTGCAGCCGGAGGCAGAGAGCTGAAATCATGACATGCTGTGCTCTTTTAGAGCTTTTAGAGTTTAGAAACATTGGCAACTTCTTTTCTTTGCTGAACATTTAGTTTTGGGTCTTGTAGCTTCTGTTTTTACAGTTTTGAATGGAAATTATTAAAACTCAGTGTTTGGCCTGTTAAAAAAAAAAAAAAGTATTTGCTTTCAAGGAACCGCTCATGTGAGAAGTGTGATGCAAGTTGGTACTCTTTTCCAAAACCATTGGTCACCCAAAGATAAAAGCTAAAAGACGACTGGCATGATCATAAATTTAATGGATAAATGTGAGATGTTTCCTTCTCAGTTAAATGTTCAGCAGAAAATCAATTTTAAAGAGGAATTATGAGACATGTCATGCAAATACAAAAAAAAAAAACTTAACTTAAACTTCCAAACTTAACTATTTAAAGAAAAAAACATTTTGGATTCAATATCTGGTTAACAGAAGGGAAAACAAAGACTTTGAGTGACTGGATTGATTTTCACAGTAGAGACACGAGGTCAGACTGGCTGACACCGTGTGCTGTAAGCAGAGCTCAGACGGTCTACGGAGCATTTCAGAGTAAATTCTGACAGATCTTTGTGCTGCTTCACCCAAAACCTCAAACATTTTGTTCTTTCATTCCTGCAGGTGAGCGACGGAACGCAACATCTTTCTGCACTCACGACCAGATCAGTCTTTTTTTTTTATATATAGTTTATGACATCAGTGCATGCAGTTTCCTTAAGCCTCACATGAGCCACTGCTCCTTGTCTTTGTTGAACTGTTCAGCCCAGTGGCGGGTCAGGTCCAGGTAGTGATCGGGTCCATGTGGCTGATAGTCTAAATAAACACGAGTTGCTGTTTTTTTGGGCATGGCCCTCTCTATCTGCGTCCCTTCGTGCCACTCGTTAAAAGACGTTATGGTGATCATCTCCGGCCGCACGTTAAGGGCCGCCTGCAGGGCCGTCTCGTAGTACCTGCCATTCACCCGGTTGCGGGTGTTGTGGTTGTTCCACGGCCGGATGCTGGTGTCGATGTAACCTGGTCCGACGCTGGGGATGAAAAGAAGGTTGTTCCCGTCACAAAAAGCCTTGATGGCCTTCCAGTTCTGGTGAGACGAGCCGAAGGAGAAGCCGTTGGAGGCGAAATAGGTGTACATGCCGTCAAAGCCACCTGCGAGGATGTCGTGCTTGTGACGCTCCTCCACGATCAGAGCGATGAAGACCGAGTCGTAAGCAGAACCACGCACGCTGTGGGATCCGGTGGGAGTTAAAAATTCAGACCAGGACTCGGGTGGGGTCAGGTAGGAGTCATAGATGTAGAACATGGGAAGACTCTTTCCTGTGCTGGAAGTGAATCTGTAGAAGGCCCCGTGGTCGCCGTACCTTCAAAAGATATCAAGACGGCAAACAAAGACAGCTGTTACTGCAGAGTCTGAACTGATTGTTGTTTGATACGTTTGATTTAAAGAGCTGCAAGACTAACATCAGCTGAGAAACGATACGGTGAAGGTTTTTGTGTGTGTGCTGGGGGGGGGGGGGTACCTCTCATTTTAAAGAAATAGTGGATATGTTGCTTTGATTTTGCCTAAATTCCTTAAAGGATAAATAAAAACTCAACAAATAATGTTCAAACGGACATAAAGTAAATCTGGAATCTTAACAAAGATGTCCAACATGAAAAACTGGTGTAAAATGATGCATGAAACCTACAATTCTGCAAAACTGTAAACTATAATTTGATGTTTGACTCGGTTAGACCAACAATAACACAAGCAGTTAAAGGCCTAGCGTTCCTTGAAGGAATGCCTGTCGCCCAACATCTTTCATGTCAAAATTTTAGACTAAAATCATCTTATGACGAGAAACGGCAAAGCTGTTGGTGTAATTTGATCTTTTTTTTTTTTAATGACAGTCTTTGCAAACTCATGCAAAGTCGTAAGATGTGTGGCTCAGAGTTTGTGTTGTGAATGACTCTCAACTACTACCACACCAAATCATAGCTCACTAATACTGATTGAATTATAGCTACTGTATTTTTGTGTTGGCTAATGCCCGTTAGCTATAAGGACTATCTTGAATCAGATCAGTTTTAGACAAACACTCATTGATTTTTGTGTGAAAGTTATTTTGGGGTCGAACACAAACGCAATGAAACAGGCAAAAACACTATAACTCCGCCTTTTCCTTTCAGCAGTGAGCAATACAAAGCCCTTGTCATTAAAATATATATATATATACAACTTTAAATAATTACTGAAAACATTCAAATGTATCCCGTTGTTGACTGAGTATTCACGTTTTGCAACTTGAGGTAAAACGTGCAGATTCTGCTTTAAAAATAAAACCCATTAGAGGTTCTGTCCTGGGGGAGCTTTGAGTTTGTGTGCACCTGACAGGCACTTTTTACTGAAGTGTATGAGCCAACATTCACTTAAACATTCATTTATAAGTCGCAAAGCTGCACTTATATAATCAAAAAGCAACCTCAAAGTGTGTCTGTGTTGCGACCTCTTGTTTCCGCAGCTTTACATGCATTCAAACTGAGCTGCAACACGAAATGTAAGCATCTTACCTGTCAATGATGTACTTGATGTTGTCGTGGACGGTCTGGTCATTTCTTCCTCTGTAAGGCTGGATGTGAAATGCAACCTTGAAATAAATGAAGTCAAACATGTACCTAGTTAGTTTTTCAGAGTCTCCACCATCTTTTTGTTCAAAACTGAAGCCAAAATGTTTTTTTTTTGTTTGTTTGTTTGTTTTTTGGTTGTTTCCATTTAGCATTTTTGACACCAGTATCTGCATCACTCGGCATGTAGTGCTGTAAGTTCGATACAAAAGTCCTGCCTACACACTCTCCCAACTCGCTATCAGGCCGTGACACACACAGTCACAGTAAAACATGAGACGTTTCTTTAAACCTCAAAAACTGATCAAAACTAAAGTCACTGAAAATCTGCATTGTTGAGCATACAGCAGCAAGATAAGAACTATGTGAATTTCCCAAAAAAATATTACCTGGAAATAATTGTCTGAAGTGTATTTTTATTTTAATGGTCAGGAAAATGTTCCATTTGTTTGCATGAAGGGGGCGGGGCTTAAAACTTGTTCTGCTGCCAGTCTACAGGGGGCGCTTGTCATACTTTAAACATGATTTTTTCCAAAGCAGTGTTGCCAAGTCTGCTTATTATAAGCGACTTTGTGCTTGATTTTTTTCTAAAGTTGCTTGCAAATCTTGTGAGTTGCGGTTTTTTTTGGGGGGCTTGTTTTTGAACGTGAAGTTGCTTATTTGGGCTTAACTTTCTTTCCGAGTGAAACTAGTTGATTATCTCCCAGCTCTGCACAATAAAGCAAAAGACGAGTGGTAGTAGGTAGTCTGTCCCTTCCACGCCCACGTTTCCTGTTTATCGCTCCCGCCCAAGTTGGCGAGGCGACAAGCACAAACTCAAACACTCATATTGTGGCCGACCACTAGGGGGCTCCACTTACACGCAGATGTCAGGATGTTTTGGTTTTAACAATACGTAGAAAAAAAATACAATTTGTTACATATGCAAAATGTATTTTTTTAATCAAAACTTAAAAGTATGTTATTCAAAGTGTTTAGCGTAATGTTGTTGTTGTTTATAATGCAATAATAAAGGTATGCTTATACTGTTTTAAAACAGCCTCTGTTTTACACAATGTGGTGGGTTGCCAGTTGAGCTTGTTTTCATAGAGCTGGTTGCTTGTTTCTATTGCAAGATCTGGCAACACTGTTCCAACAAGGTCTCGTATAACTCGCTTGTATGAGCAAGGCCAGGATCTCCTCACTTCAGTGACATTTTAATAACTGCCTAATCATACCATTGTGAATTCAAATGTGGTTATAACTGATCAAACCGAAAAAGAAAAAAAATAATAATAATAAAAAAAATATATATAT